GAGCAGCCCCCCCGGGGTGTCGGGGGAGGATCGCCGAACCGACCAAGAAGTGTCTCAAACCAATGGCATCTTGAGGCGAATGTCAGTTGGCTGGGAGGCTAAACAACCCTGCCGGGCCCCCCGAGGCCCCAGAGGCCCCCAGCCAGCAAAGACTTTTATCATCGTTGTTATAATATTGTTCTACTTCCTCTGTTACACATTATTAACGGCGGTACGCCCCCCCCACTCCCCCCCCCCCCCTTTTGGTTTTGTCGTCTCCGTCTTTCCACTCGCCGTCTTCAATAATTTACAGTCGGCCGGCGGAGGACAAAGGAGGAGTCGTCTGTTAAATATTGATGTGTGTGTGATGCGATAATGAGCTGAAGATGCGTTTCAGGTTCCATCATTGGACGGACCCCCCCGGGGGGGCAACCTGCTGCATTCTGGGGATTCTTCATTTAAATGTGTTTTATCGTCTTTAGAGGCCAAAGCAGACACAATTATTCATTCATTTATTTACTGCAAATAATTGTTAAATATTTAAACCAACGTCCGTCCTGATTGACAACAAATGTTTACTTTTTTTAGTCGATTTTTCAAAACGCCACAAAACAGATTATCTTACATGTGTTCATGTTTCTATCAACATTGACTTTGATGCTTTTTTTTACAGCGTCACCATAAAATGCAGCTCTCCTAAAATACTGCTGTAGAATCACTGAATCTTAATTATTCCACTTTTACTGGTTTAAAACTTTTAACCATCTTCAGTCCTGATCTTCAGATTTTAACAGGTAGATTCTGTTTAAAGGTTTCAATACGTTTAGTTTATTAACTGATCACCGGACCATCGAAGGCTGCTTCATCTGCAACGACAAGAAGGGTTGTAACCTGACCAACGTGTGCGCGTGTGTGTGTGTGTGCGTGTGCGTGTGTGTGTGTGTGCGTGTGCGTGTGTGTGCGTGTGTGTGTGTGTCGGTCCAGGACCAGCTTACCTGCACCGATGTTTTCGAGGAACGACTTCAGCATCTGGAGCATCCTGAGGAACTGCATCGGGATGGTGAGACGTTTGAGCGGATTAATCCTTCATATCTTCAGCATCACGAGATGGTCCTTTGTTTCTGTGCTGGCGAAGGAAACGACCTCCTTGGTCCAAACGGACACATATAACGTACAGAAGGTCCCCGATGAATAAAGATGAATATTCCCTTTGGCCGTTAAGGTCTCACCTTCCTCCTCCAGAGAGAACCGGTCCCTCAGCTGCACCTCTGCAGCCTCTGAGGAACCTTCTGTTGCCCTCATTCATAATCCAGAGGAGCTGCATCTCCTGTATGAAGAGCTCGACACCACCTTATCTATATACCTGTAGACTCATGGAGCGCATTGACCCATCAGATGACGTGTGAGGGTCCGTGCAGGTGACCTGAATCCTTCGTCATTGTTTTGATCAGAATTATTCTTTTAACGTTCCGCCTCAGGAACTCTCCAAGATCACCATGCCGGTGATTTTCAACGAGCCGCTGAGCTTCCTGCAGCGGCTGACGGAGTACATGGAGCACACGTACCTCCTCCAGCGGGCCAACGCCTGCCCCGACTCCACCCAGAGGATGAAGGTGGGGGCCTCCGCTTCTCAACACGAGACCTTTATCCTACAGACGATACTGTGTGCAAAGTGTCAAAGTGATGAACTGTGTGTGCGTGTGCGTGTGTGTGTGTGTGTGTGTGTGCGTGTGCTGTCCACAGTGTGTTGCTGCGTTCGCGGTCTCCGCTGTGGCGTCCCAGTGGGAGCGGACTGGGAAGCCCTTCAACCCTCTGCTGGGAGAAACCTACGAGCTGGTCAGGTAGGTGGGGGGTCAGGTAGGTAGGGGGTCAGGTAGGTGGGGGGTCAGGTAGGTGGGGGGTCAGGTAGATAGGGGGTCAGGTAGGTGGGGGGTCAGGTAAGCGGGGGGTCAGGTAGATAGGGGGTCAGGTAGGTGGGGGTCAGGTAGGCGGGGGTCAGGTAAGCAGGGGTCAGGTAGGTGGGGGGGTCAGGTAGGTGGTGGTCAGGTAAGCGGGGGGTCAGGTAGTCGGGGGGTCAGGTAGGTGGGGGTCAGGTAAGCAGGGGGTCAGGTAAGCAAGGGTCAGGTAAGCAGGGGTCAGGTAGGAGGCGAGGTCAGGGAGGCGGGGTCAGGTAGGCGGGCGGTCACACGGCGTCTCGGTTAAATGTGAAATACCTGAAGTCCTGAAGTACCTGAACGCCCCCCTCTGCTCCCCAGAGAGGACCTGGGCTTCAGGCTCCTCTCGGAGCAGGTGAGCCACCACCCTCCGGTCAGCGCCTTCCACGCTGAGGGCCTTCAGCAGGACTTTGTGTTTCACGGTTCCATCTACCCCAAACTCAAGTTCTGGGGCAAGAGCGTGGAGGCGGAGCCTAAAGGCCTCATCACGCTGGAGCTGCCCAAGTAAGAAGCTCCGGTTGGTAAAGGCTTAGTAGTGATGAAGACGTCCCCCCTTAAAGCCCCGTGTTCCCCTCCAGGCACAACGAAGCGTACACGTGGACCAACCCGACGTGCTGCGTGCACAACATCATCGTGGGGCAGCTGTGGATCGAGCAGTACGGCACCATGGAGCTGCTCAACCACAGGTTCCACCACTGTTAACGAGATGCAAGGTGTCAGATACAAGATAACAATCACAAACAGGGAGGAACATGATGTTTTCTCTTCTCGAACTCAGAACCGGAGAGAAGTGCTGCCTGAATTTCAAACCATGCGGCCTGTTTGGCAAAGAGCTGCACAAGGTCGAAGGTCACATTCTGGACAAAAGGTACGGCCTGAGCCCGACACGAATGAGATGCACACACAGTGAGTCCCTGCCTGAGGTGTGTGTGTGTGTGTGTGTGTGTCCACAGCAGGAAGAAGCTGTGCGCTCTCTACGGGAAGTGGACGGAGTGCCTCTACGCGGTCGAGCCCGCCGCCTTCGAGGCGCACAAGAAGAGCGACAAGAAGGCGACCGCGCAGAAGAAAGGCGGGAAAGCAGTACGGATACCACGTTAATACCTGATCATTACAAGATTAATACCTGATTTAGTACCTCATTAATACATGATTAATAACTGATTAGTACCTCATTAATACACAATTATTACGTGATTAGTACGTGATTAATACATGAATTATACCTGATTAGTACATGATTAGTACGTGATTAATACGTTATTATTACATGATTATACCGTATTAGTACATGATTAGTACGTGATTATTACATGGATTATACCTGATTAGTACGTGATTAGTACGTTATTATTACATGATTATACCTGATTAATACATGATTAGTACGTGATTAGTACGTGATTATTACATGATTATACCTGATTAGTACGTGATTAGTACGTGATTAGTACGTGATTATTACATGGATTATACCTTATTAGTACCTGATTAATACATGATTAGTACGTGATTATTACATGGATTATACCTGATTAGTACGTGATTAGTACGTGATTATTACATGATTATACCTGATTAGTACGTGATTAGTACGTGATTATTACATGGATTATACCTTATTAGTACCTGATTAATACATGATTAGTACGTGATTATTACATGGATTATACCTGATTAGTACGTGATTAGTACGTTATTATTACATGATTATACCTGATTAATACATGATTAGTACGTGATTAGTACGTGATTATTACATGATTATACCTGATTAGTACGTGATTATTACATGGATTATACCTGATTAGTACGTGATTAGTACGTGATTAGTACGTGATTAGTACATGATTAGTACGTGATTGGTACGCGCGGCCTTGTGTCCGTTTGACCCCCTTTCAGGGCAGCAGTGGCGCTCTTGAGGAGGTTCCCTCCCCGGCTGCAGACACCGTGGAGATGATTCCTGGCAGTCAGCTGCTGTGGAGAATCGCTCCCAGACCGGCCAACTCCACCCAGGTGGGAGGGGTTAGCGACGAGCTAGCGTTAGCGTGTGTTACTCCAGCTCGATTTACGAGTGAGAGCGGATTGGTTCCATTCTCTTCTTAGTTTGGTGGCGTTAGAGGCGTCGGTGTGATGCATTATTTAGATCTTGAAACTGTCTCTGTGTGAACTCGAGTGTTGTTCTTGGATGTTGTGATATCCGTGTGCTGCAGATGTACAGCTTCACCTCCTTTGCGATGCAACTCAACGAGCTGCACACAGAGATGGAGGCCTCGCTCCCCCGGACCGACTGCAGGCTGAGGCCGGACATCCGGGCCATGGAGAACGGAGACATCGGTAACGCGCCTGCAGCCGGGGGGGAACCGAAAGAACCAAGACCCCTCCGGCTGACATCTGAAGCTCCACAATGTTTGTGTTCCAACAGACGTCGCCAGCGAGGAGAAGAAGAGACTCGAGGAAAAGCAGAGAGCGACTCGCAAGGACCGCTCCAAGTGTGACGAGGAGTGGAAGACGAGGTGAGGGACCATTGACAGCTCAGATCAACCTCTGTGTAATACAAGCATTTTATATTTATGTTCTAAGCAGTTTTCACTGGTCGTATTTACAGTTTTCTGTCTTCGTTGCAGCGTTTTAAACGTTATAAATGTCTTTTTCTCTTCGTCTCACTTGTCTCTCTGTTGCATCCCGGCTTTGATGTTTAGGAGTCCCGCCCTGGGCCCAAGGTCAGAGCTGCTGTTAGACGATGAAATGTGTGATGTGGTCACGTGACCTCTCATCTCGGCTGCTACGATGCGATAGAGAGCCGTGATTGGAGACGATGTCTTTAACGTCCACTCGGTGGACATTGAAGACATCGCGCTGCTCTGTGTTTGGTCTTTGTGTTAGGTCTTCTGTGTGTGTCCCTCATCCCGAGTCTCATCCTGGTGTTTGTGTCTTTTGTATCTTTAAGATCAATTATCATTATTTACACTTTGTGTCGGACGTCACGTTTCTTTAAGCGTTCCGGTAACACGGGCGAGGCATTGAAATGCAAACGTCTTCCTTTTTAGTTCCTTGTGCACGTGACCTATAACCTCGACCCCCCCGACCCCCCCACCTGATGTGTCTCCGCTGTGTGCTCAGGTGGTTTCAGCAGGGTCCGAACCCCCACACAGACTCCCAGGACTGGCTCTTCTGCAGCGCGTACTGGGACAGGAAGTACAGCCAGCTGCCCGACATCTACTAGTGACGCCGTCGCTCTTCCTAACGGACCCCCGTGGCCTTAATCTCCTGTGTAAAATGTTCAGCAAAGCTTTGAAAGAAGATGGTTCCTTCTTTTAAATGTTAATGCACGCTGACTTTAAACATATTCATTGTATATAAAGTTAATGTCGCTCAGTTCGAGGTCCACGTGTGTGTTGTTGATTCATCCAACTTGTAACCGAGTGCTGTTGCTGCTGTTTCATAAAGCACACATCTGATATGTGCAGAGGGTTATTATTGTGTTTGGGTTTATCATGCAACCTGCCAGGGGTCAAAGGTCACGTACATTTCTATGGCGTTTTGCCTCCCTGCAGAGCATCGACGGTATTTTAGTGGAAACTGAAATAAAACTTTTTTAGCTTTTGTATGTTGGGGATCCTGAGGTTAAAGTGTGATCTCTGCATCAACGGCCCGAGTCTGACCTCTCAGGAGAGAACCTCATCAGGACCTCATCAGGACCTCAGAGGACGGCGCTGGAGAAGCCGGCAGCGAAGATAATTACGGGATACTTAGTTAAGGACCAGCGGACTTCTCATTAAATGAGACATGAGACAACAAAGCTGTGAAAAGTCCTTTAAAAGAACAAAGTCATCACAAGCGTTTTGCCAACATGACCCATGAATCCATTGCAAAATGTTGATAACGGAATTCAGGATTTCTGATCTAAATGTGACTCAAACGTCTTTAAATTAAAAACTAGAGAATCGGGTGCTGACGTCTCGTATAAGATCCAGGATCTGAGGTCAAACTGTTACTGAAGGCGGACGGAAACAAGCTACAGGGACGTTAGTGAGGAAAGAAAGTAAAGGAATGATGCAAAGGTGCCGTGTGTTTAATCCCATTAGAATTTGATGCATTTATTGAAGAATAGACCCTCATGATCCGTCATCATTTTCTATCTCCAGTAATAAAGTGTCTGCATGTAACTACCTGTTACTGAGCCAGCTGTCTCCTCAGAGAGCTGCTTCTCATCACACAGAACGACCTTCATGCCATCCAATCACAAATTATCACAACGCCTGTAGCGCAGTGAAGAGTTGTTTTAACAGGAACAGTTTCCTCGCCTTTAAACTTCCCTTCATGCGCGTTTGGGTCCAGCGGACCGACATTAGCTGATTGTCCAGGAATCACTTTTACATTATTGATGTTGAGCTCCAACCTGAAAAGGGAAATGTGTTGAGTAAAGTAAACTTGGCTGCAGACAGGAGGTGCCAGCGTCCGTCGCTGTGCCTCTCATCCGACCTCGGGGTAAATTCCACGTAGCGCTCAGCCGGGGGCAGCTGGGCAGATGTGGAGCAGAAGATACACGTATCGCGATCTGTGAGTTCTGATTCTCTTTTAGAGGAACCGTGTCGGACTCCATCCCTCTGTGGACGCAATACACAGCGATTAAATCCCATCGAGTGCTTCTGCATCCATCAGACCCACAATGCCAACATTCCTTACGGCAGCTGGTTGCACCTGTTGAAGGCAGACCCGCCTCCCACACCTGGCTCCACGGTAACCACGGCAACACAAACATTGTACCGCCCCGTCGCCGAGGCACAGGGGAGGCGGAGCAGAAAAGAGAACACTGACCCACGTGGCAGGTCCTGCAGGCCGCGTTGCCGTAGTAACCGCCGGGGATGAACGGACGGTTCTGAAGGTCAGTCAGATCATCAACGAGGCTTTTGGCGTTTGGTTTGGTCCACAAAGGTCACAGGTCATTTAGCTGACGCTTTTATCCAGAGCGACTTGCATTGCATTTATTTTAACACATGGCTTTTTACTGCAATTAGGGGTCAGGTGTCTCAGGGACACTTTGACATGCGACATGGAGCAGCTGGGGCTCGAACCGCCAACCTTGCGGTTCCCAGGGCACCTGTTCTACTGTGTGTGTGTGTGTGTGTGTGTGTGTGTGAGTGAGTCCACACCAACCGCACACATTCACCACCGACCTGCTGGCGGGAAACCTGTTATCAGCTGCTCGCACTGCGGAGTGATTATCGGCCAGAACATTTGGATTTAATTATAGTGATTACGTCCAGGATCAGAGGCGTTTTTCACTGTGACATGGAGATGTAAAGAAACACACACACACGCACACACGCACAGACACACAACACGTGAGTGTGAGACACGCAAAATACTCGACGATCTTTCCCCCAAAGGAGACACACACACTTTGGTTCATTTATTCTTTTTCATTATTCCTACGCGATGCAGTACAGTAGAAGGTAGATCAGTAGCTCCTCCCCCTCAGGTAAACACCTGCAGCAGGTGAACCTTGTCTGGTGGAACTCATGTGAGCTGAGCTCGGTTCAACAAAGCAGAGCCAGAGACAAATAAAGACTGAGATTAAGAATTACTTTATTATCACTTTATTACACATCAGTCAAGCCAGTTAGCAACTGATAAAATATTGTTTATAATTGGAGGAGAAACCTTCTGTTTGTCTTGAACACATTAAACAGTACGACTATATTTAATTTAATAAAAACTAATTTGAATTTTTACAATTTCAGATTTCCCAATAAACGTCTGAGAACACCTTCAAATTCCCTCAAAATACTTTATTTTTAATAATAAATCCACAGAGTTTCACAAAAATACAGTAATAATAAAACAAATAAACATGAAGTTATGGCATGTAGCTTAGCATTTTAGCTAACATTCTCATGGGCATCAGCTATAATGTGGTGAAACGTTGCAGTGATTAGCTTAATAATGCAACTTGAGGTTGTAGTAATTTTTGATTTCATTTTCATTTGTGAAAGTGGTGAAGTGGAAGAATGTGGTTTTATTTCAATTCACTTTTACATAATCTCACTTAAAAGGAGGGTAAATTATTTAACTAAGATATTTCACCATTACACTTATTTAGTTTATTAACATAGAGTCATTTTCAGGAATTTCAATATTCCTGAGATGAATGCTTAGGAATGCAAATGAGGCAATATCTCATTTGCAGGTAAAGCCGGTTTACAAATAGACAAAGTGGGAAAATTAAGTATGATTATTTTTTTTCAATTGTAAAAAAAAAAAAAGAAAACCTGTTATGTTTCAATTTTGAGGTTAAATAGTTTAAACATAACTTCTCAGGACGGTTGATAGAATCTCTGGTCGGTACGAGAAGCTCCACCGGAGAACACGGAGGTCCAGCAGGGAACCGGGCGTGAATCACAGAACCGGGAAGAGGGCGTAGCTCGCCACGCCACAGCTGTTCCTTCCGTCTCGGACCATTCGCATGAAGCCTCCTTCGCCCCAGCTGCTGCCCCAGCTGAGAGGAACCAACGGAGAGCACGCGCTTAGACTCAGCCGGAGGAGGTCCCGTGTGGGGCAGGGGGGGGGGCGTTGCTCCGCTCACCTGTTCTTGATGATCCAGAAGTCTCGGCCTCCTTCGGAGCCGTAGCCGACCAGCAGCACCGCGTGGCTCAGGTTGTTCGGGTTACAGTTCGGCTCGTCGTAGATTCCTGCGAAGGAAAGTTCGACCTGCTTTCATTCATTGGTCGGCCGCTCGGGGGGCGAGAGGCGAAGACCACGTTCATGTGTTCATCTCAATAAATAACCAGCAGTCATCTGGATGCAAAGAGAAGGTGAAAGCGAACAATAACAACAGGTAGACCACCTGAGCTGTAGAACAGGAAGCTGGAGTGATCGGCGTCGATGGCCACGGTGATGGGGCCGACGGTCGCCACGGCGTCGGCCAGCGCCTGCTCGTCTCCTTTGGGTATGAAGCGGTAGTCTTTGATGTGGGCCACCGCCTGCCGGCCGTCGTAGTAACAGGGCTGCGTGTCCTGTGGACGGGACAAGAAGCGCCGGGCGTTACCGGGGGGGTGGTTTGGGGGGCGGGGCCTCTGGGGAAGGAGGAAGGGGGCGGAGTCTCACCACAGAGGTGTACGGGTAGGCGTTGGCGGACTGCAGCCCGTTGCTGACCACGTAGTCGTAGGCGTTGGCCATCCAGGCGCCGCTGCAGCCGTAGGTGCCGTAGGACCGGGAGCAGTCCACCAGGTTCTGTTCGCTCAGGGACACCAGCTGACCCGTCTTCTTGTAAATCTGGCCCTCGATGGCTCCCGTGGTGCTGAAGGCCCAGCACGAGCCACAGAAGCCCTGAGGGGTCCATTAGAAGGAGCGTCACCTTCGATCGTCCCCCGATTCAGCGTTGGACTGAAAAGGACTCGTTAAACGTCCTACCTGGTCTTTCACCTCGGTGACGTAACCCATCTGCCTGTAGTCCACAACGTGAGCGCCCAACTTCTTAGCGTTGTAGCGCAGCCTGCGGCTCGAGGCGGTCTTCCCCCTCTTCACGAACTGGGAGTCTATCATGGCGCCTTGCAAGACCCGGAGCTCTTGTCTCGTCTAGAGGGCATGAAGAAGACTTCACAGTCATTCATGTCATCCGGCGTGACTCTTTGGGTGTAGCTCATGTGCTCATGGAATACAAGAAACAACACAAGGAGGGGGGGGGGGGGGCAGATGGACACTAGACTTTCACTTAGGACCTTACGTTCGTCTTGTGTGAAACAAGATGTCCAAATCGACCTTTGTATTTCTAGTTGTCACATAACTTCCCTACTTGGGTAAAGACACTTATTTGACCCTGAACCACAACCTTTCTAGGCCTCACCTGGGTACATCCAGTAAGCGTGTCTATGAACGAATGATCCGTTTGTTAATGCCACCAAATCATCACATTTACGTAAAGCTACTGTGACACCTCCACTTTCATTGACAGGTGCTTCTGCGCCCCCTGTGGACTAAAGTGGTAGAGTCTCCTCCCACCAGGGTCCCTGGAGAAAACCTCTCGTTCTGTTGCAGGGTCTCACAGTCTGACCCTCTCAGTCCTGGTCCTGGTTCTCCGGGGCCTTCCTTAAAGGAACTTTAAAGTTTGGGAGCTTTCGGCATGTAGAGGAAGACGCGTCTCCTTACCAGGTCTCCGTACTTGTTCATGGCCATGGTGAAGGGCCTCCTCCCCATGAAGAACCCTTGATTGTTGTCTTCTATCATCTGCCTGTTCTCCTCCCAGATGGACCTCCTCTGCATGTCGTCCTGCAGGAGATCACAGAGAGACTGGTGGTGAGTCAGAGGACTCTCCGCCGTGCTGGAGGTCTGGACGTGGCGCCGGCCTCACCGCGTCCTCGTAGTTCACGCCGTGGCTGCTCTTCCAGACCTCCCACTCGGTCGGGGCCGCCTCGTCCGACTCGGAGCCCCCCCGCTGGGGGCCGAGCAGCAGGAGGGGGAGCAGGGCGGCTCGCAGCAGGAGGCCGGCCCGCCGGACTGGAAGGCCGGGAGCGTCACAAGAAGGGAGGGGGGGGCAAACAGGTTGTAGTTATCACTCGATTTGTTTCAGTCATTTCCAGCAAAATCAACATTGATGTAGAATTTGGGGTTTGCACTTAAATTTGCACTTAAAGTCTTTATAATCTCGTCTCGTCCTTAACTTTTGAGTTTTGCGACCTTCACGAGTCGGAACCGCATTTTATACAATAAGACACAAAATCAACAACCAAATAAATCATACATTATTTTTTAGCAATTATGTCCATAAAAAGGTTAAAAGATGTTAACATCAAATCAACTAAGAAGATACTAATTGATCCGATCGGCTTTCAATGACGTCTTTGTTAGTTCTGACTTGTCCTGACGTGAAACTCTTCAGCACCTCTGTGATAAAATGTCTCTACACTATTAGAATAAAGAACAGTGTTTCTCTCAGTGAAGAACATGATATGAAACCTCAGTTAAAACGGTGACCCTTGTTTTCATGACTGAAAACAAAAAGAATACATTAATCCAAAGGCTCATACTCTCATGTTGCTGTTGCTTTAAGTGCAAACACTTCATTTAGTTTCATTCAGCAGAAGGTATCGACACAACAAGTGTGTTTTTAATATAAAAGCCAAGAAACAGTCAGAAACATCTGCATCTGTAGCGTCATGACGTTTGATGAAGCTCTTCAAAATAAAAGCAGCCAGTTCGGGTACTTTGTGGAATAAAAAGCTGCACTTACCTGCGTGGATGTGTTTGGCTGCCATGTTCTGAGAGGGACTCCAACAGCCTGCTGAGGACCTTCCTTATGTAGCTCCACAGTAAACACATGCCGCCACTGTACTTTGATGGATCCCTTAATCAACACCTGAGGAGGACACCAGTCAGCGAGACGCTCGTCCTCCGTAAAACCTCTGTTATCGTTTAGAAACAGCTAAAGCTGCAAAATCAAAAATCCTTCAATTACTGGGTTATGAGCTCAAACACCTGACATCAGGAGGACGCACACACATCATTACTGCAGTAAACATAAGAGTATGCTTACGTGGAAATACTTTAATCAGTTCAGCTGTACTTAATAAAAGAAGAAAAAAAAGGAAAGCATATGTGTATATATATGTATATTAGATATTTATATATTTATATATATATATATATATATATATATATATATATATATATATATATATATATATATATCATAACACCCTCAATGAAAACCAACAAAATTAAGAATTTATTTTTAAATGTCCAGGAAAATAATATTTAAAATCACAAGAACTTGTGAAACCAGAAACAACTTGTTCTCCACCTGGAGGACCAGAAGGCCTCCGCAGCCTTTGTTTAACTGCAGACAACGATGAGTCATGTTCATGCATTTATTGTGCGGCTGCAGCAGCGCCACCCAGCGGCCCGGTGAGCGCAGCTCACTCGTCATCACGACTCGGCTCCCAAACAGCGTCACAAATGCGTCACGATGTCTTTCAAGGTAAAAACCCGTCTTCTCTTCTGCTCCTCGCGCGCCTTCATTCTCCGTGCGCGTGCTGGAGAGCCCTCGTGAGAAATCCGTGTGTGCATGCGCGTGCTGTGTGTGTTGTTGTTGTTGTTCATTCTAAAGAAGCGGGTGGACGTTGTGTGTCTTCACCCCCCCAGAAGGAAACGCCTCTGGCCAACGCCGCGTTCTGGGCCGCGCGGAAGGGGAACGCGCCTCTCCTCCAGCTGCTGCTCAACAGCGGGCGCGTGGACGCGGACTGCAGAGACAGTGTACGCGCGCGGCGTGTCCGGATGCTGTGCACGCGCTTACCGTAACCCCGCCCCCCGCGTGTCACGTGTTGTTTTGTTGTCACCTTTATAAAGGGGGAGGGGCTTCAAGCGCTCATTAGGGGAGGGACTAAACTGTTTTACCTGCTTCACATGGAGCTCCTCACTAAACCTGAGACATGAACATTGAGATGAACAAAGAATCCAAAATACACGATTTAAAGTGAATCCTCATATTGTGTATTTTCCCTTTTCAATCCTCAAAACACCAAATGTTGCTGTTCTAGTTCTACGTGTTAGACTTTGTCCAACTTAAACTAAAGTACCCCGCTGGAGCTAAACTGTTTTTTAATCACGCCTCTCATTAAATCCATTTGTCCCTCAGCTGATCGATTGTTGCCGTGTTTCTTTCCAGTCCGGCTCCACGGCGCTGATGGTGGCGTCCTACAGCGGCCATTGTGACTGCGTCAAACAGCTGATCATGCAGGGAGCCGACATCAACTACCAGCGAGAGGTACGGTGGTGAACGAGTTCTACGGACCACCAGCCGCAGGGCGCCGTGATTCTGTCTGAGGTCACCAGCAAGTCGCCGCTCACACGAATAGATCCTCGAACAGAGGATGTCGTTTTTACACGAGTCAGTTTTTCAAGGATGAAAGTGAACAAGCTTCTTGTCTTTATGCGACATGCTTTTCTTTCCCTAGATTTTATCGTATGAAACAGGAGTTATTTTCTCCTTCTTATAAACGTTATATTCCGTTAAGAAAAACCTTGTCATGATTAATGCAAACTTACAGATTCCTTAATAAGACTAACGAGCAGTTTGATTGACTGTGTTTCTATTAAAATACGTACAAACTAATAGAGATCTCTTTCCGCCGCCTCCAGACGGGCTCCTCCGCCCTGTTCTTCGCCTCCCAGCAGGGACACGATGACGTCGTGAAGCTGCTCTTTGAGTTCGGAGCCTCCACCGAGTTCCAGACGAAGGTACGATGGGCGTGCCGACGTCCCGTGAGACGGATTCAGCCTGACAACGAGGCCGTGGTGGCGTGCGGACATGGTTGTGTTTCTCTTGTGGCAGGACGGGGGCGGCGCCCTCACCGCGGCCTCTCAGTACGGACACGCCAAGGTGGTGGAGACCCTGCTGAAGAACGGCGCCAACGTTCACGACCAGCTGCATGTGAGCCACACCTCCAGCCTCTTTCTGGAACGCGGCGGTTAGTGTCGTCACAATGTCGGTGGAATCCGGCCTCTCAGGTTTTTGCTGCTCAGTCAGATTCTGTTGGTTGGAGGTGAAACCAACAACATACGTGTTCATGAGACAGCAGTGACGAGTCATCGACACATTCTTTGATTGGGTGGAAGCTTTTCTCACCATTTCTGACAACATAAATGGAAAAGTGTGCCAGATGAGTCTCGGCGTTTCAGGACGGCGCCACGCCTCTGTTCCTCGCCGCTCAGGGGGGTCACGTGACTGTGATCCGTCAGCTGCTGTCGTCTGGGGCAAAGGTCAACCAGTCGAGGGAGGTAACGTCCTCGCCTCTTTGTGGAGATTCAAAGTTTAAGGTTCCTCTTTCTCAGCCCCTCTGCTGCCTGCGTCCTCTCTAATCTTCATCTTTTTGATCGTGACCTCTTCTTCCGTCCCTTTGTCTCTTCTGTCCATTTGTCGTCCAGGACGGCACCACCGCCCTGTGGATGGCGGCTCAGATGGGCCACGACGAGGCCGTGAAGGTGCTTCTCCTACGTGGGGCCGATCGGGATGCCGACCGACACGTACGCGGTTCTTTTAGTACCAGCAGAGCACATAAAAGCTTCCGTCCACATTGATGATCGATGGTGTCGCCATTTGTCCTCGTGTACGTTCTACCTGATGAGGAGGACCACGTGGTACAGTGGACGGACCTTGAGAGCGTTCTCTGTTGTCTTTCAAGGACGGATCGACGGCGTTATTCAAAGCTGCCTTTAAGGGACACAACAGCGTCATCGAGGAGCTTCTCAAGTTTTCTCCTTCAGTTGGAATCCTCAAGGTAGACGAAGCTGCCGACATTTGGAGAAATAGACCCCTCGCTTCCCTGCAGAGAGCTCAGTGACCACATGGATACCCCTCTCCGGTCTGTATGCTGGCAGACAGTTAGCTTAGCTTAGCATAAAGACTAGAGACAGGTGGTAACAGCTAGCCAATCTGCCTCAACGTATCGTTTGTATGTTGTTGTGTTTTTTGCAGATTAAATACATGAGATCAACCATGTTGCTAAGAGGGTTTTTTGGCAGAGCCCGGCCAGGGGTCTTTATGCTAAGCTAAGCTAACACGAGAGCGTAGTCTTCTCCTCTAACCACAAAAAGAGGCTAAACATCTCGGTAGGAGACTTGGTGAGGCCCCTTGAGGATGGATAATCCATCAGAATAATCAGTCTCTGTGTCTCCAGAACGGCTCCACGGCTCTTCATGCTGCCGTCATGGGGGGAAACCTCCAAACCGTCCTTCTACTGCTCGGGGCCAACGCAGACCCGATGACGCCCAACGAGGTGAGGCGCTCGCCTTATGGAAGATGAACCCGTGACTTCAGTCCCGTGAACATATTTCCTGTGTGTGTTTGTCTTCTTGTCCTCTGCAGAATCATGAACTCCCTGCAGATCTCACGAGGAGCGATCGCATCCTGAAGGTGTTACGTCCAAAAGTGTTGAACGGAGGCAGTTGATGACCATGATGACCAACCACAGTCCTTCCTGGGGGGGGGGGGGGGTATATAACGACAGCACAATGTCAAATCTCCTCAACTACAACATCTATATGCTGTTTGCTTGTGATTAAAATGAAGCCGTCATATGTTGAATAAACGTGGACTGAATGTGGAGCAACACAATGTGGAACCATCGACAATATGTGCTTTTATTTTTCCTTACATGGAGGTTAAAAGACTTCTAGATATTTAGCACAGTTTTTATTTTTTAATAGATGTAATAAAGTGTACATTTGTTAATCGATCCATTAGTGGCAGCGTACATTTTTATTTAACATGGGAAGATTCAGGATTTTATTCTGACGTCCAGAACAGTATTTTAATAATAAAATAGATTTGAAATAGTATTTCAGCTAAAACATAATTTATCTGTATCGGCTTGTAGAGGTTAGTATTTCAATAAAATATATATATATGTTGTAGTATGTTGCTAATATTATATATATATTATGTGTATATATACATACTAGTACGTGTAGTTACATCTTCGTCTGCAGTGTTTTCTGACGTCACAGCTGAAGGGGACAATAACACGTCACGTGACACCGCGGAATTAACAGCTGACTGTTCTGTTGATGCGGAAGAAGAAAGACGAGACTTTAGTTTAAAGTTGTTTCTAACCGTGAAACGTTGGTAGCGGATAACAACAAAAACAACAACAACAACAACAACAGGGTGTTTACAGTCTCACCGACGACGACAGGATCAAGTTTGACCGACGTATCGGAAGCCAAATGGCTGGTGGTAATTTACAGGTGAGTCGCAAACTTTCTCAGGTGAGCTAAGCTAAGCTAAGCTAAGCTAGTTACCTGTTGACATGAGAAGGCTGACAACAAGAGACGTTCAAGGGTTTTCATCTCGACCGCGTTTTTAAACATAAAGTTAGTAGTAAAAGAAGTAATATTTAATGTCTGTATCGTGATTTCTTGTTGTACGGATGAGCTACAACGAGCGATGACATTTGGGTTGCCAGGTCGGGAAAGAACCCTTTAAAGATGCTAAACATCTATGAAGAAGTTTATATTTATTGTTAGAGTTTAGATGTTTCTTCCCTTTAACTTAAAATACCTTTAAAGGGAAGACAATATAATTAACTACGTACTTACTGTTCTTTAAATGAGACGCACCTATCTCAGTAACCGGTATAATTAAGAAAGATTAAATCGATAGTTTAGATACACGTATTCTGTGGTGGCAGAGTAGGTGCTGCTTTGCTGGCATTTCCTATCACGCCAAGATTGTTAATCAGAGCCAGACTTTAAACCCGTAAAGACGAGTTTTACAACGCTGTGATCGATGTCTTCACGAGGAAAGACAACAATCATGAATTTCATGTACAAATAATCCACCGATTGGTGAGTCAGAAATTATTTTGGGTTTAATATAGAATTGTGTGGTTGAATGAACGTCGACCACAAGCCTTTTCCCTTCATTTTCCAGTGAGCAGTGTGTGCTTTTATTGTTGCTGACTGACACACAATTGTGCAATAATTAAGGTCCGACAGGCCGGACTTTGTCGTCAATAATGTTATATAATGTTACAATGTCCTATAACTAACATTATTGATGACAAAGTCCTGCCACGAGTGTTATAATTCAGGATAACGGTGGTTTCATTCTGATGTTGCACATTAACTAGTGGTGTACGTCTTGACATCGACGTGGGCGTACGAAACCTTTACTGCTTTTATCTGCCTTTCATAACTCAGGGCCACGCCTTGCCTTCGTTGTATTAATTTGTCCTGTTATTGACACGTCTATTTTCGAATATCTGTGTTGTTTTTTTAAGCGAATATTCGAACATCCTTTTTGAGCAATTTTGGCAGCCCTCCTGTGGCTGTGATGTAGTGCTCACTTCTAATGTGCTGCTGTGAAGTGAACACAAACACACACGAAACCAGTAGCTTTAGTAACACTGAGCTGTGGATAAAGTGATTATCATTGATCATTATTGCTGTTCAGGTTTATCAGTGTGATGATATGTCCACACACACACACACACAGTATTACACAACCATACTCAAAATAATTCACAATAAAGGAGATCACATGTGTCTCTGCAGCTTCAGTCCTTCAGCTTCCTCCAGAAGTCTTTAGCAGACAACAACACACAAAGTGTCCTATAAGAGTTTTAGTGTTGAGGTGGATGAGCTCTGTGTGTTTGTCCTGATGATAAAAATTAACATGTGAGTTCTCCCAGCAGGTGGTTGTGAAGCTGTGGACTCTGCTATGAATCAGGCTGAGGACCCAGAGGACGGTGTCCGTCCCTCTGAAGCTCCTCTGTGTGGGGAACATGACGGCCAGACCAAAGCTCAGAGGTGAGAGGACCATCTCTAACTGTCCTCCACTCTTCTCCATGTCCCAACGTCTTTGACTCACTGACTCTGCTTCTACATGTGTGGCCAGGAACCATCAGAGGCCTGGGCCTGGATCTGATCCTGAACCTGGTCTACGATCTGTACATGAACCCAGCTGTGTGTCCCTGAAGAGTAACCGGTCTATGAATCAACCTCTAGTCTTCAAAGATGTTGGTCCCTCTGTTGATGCAAGGTGAGGGTCTCAGGCTGATGATGAGGTGTTTCTACCAGACTCTCTGGTGGAGGTTCTGGGTTTCTTGCTCCAGGGCCCTTCAGCAGTGTCCAGTGAGGGAGGGAGAGCTCCATGGAGGACTTGGTGAGACCTGTTGGGACTAAACCAAACAGTGAGCTGAAAGACTGAGCTGTTGATTCTTAGTGAGACCAGCAGGACCAGTAGACCTAAACCACTACAGGAAGTCATGTGGTCCACATCTAGACCTCAGGTCATGGACCTTTATCTTGTTTTGGTCTCTGTGAGGACGGACACCATGTGAGCTGATGCTTCATGATTAGATAATGATGTGATGATGAAATCTCAGTGTTTCTTTCAGTTCACATCAGCAGAGAGGAAAGTCTCCTGAACCCAGATATTTGTCCATGAAGAGTAACCAGTCTATGATACAACCTATAGTCTTCAAAGATGGACCCTTTTCTTATAAGTTCTTAACAGATGAAGAACTGTTCTGATCCTCATTTATAATTTACAGAAATAAAGATGTTGTTTTTATGACCCTTTAGTTCTTGATGAACTAAAACCAGATGAAAATGATGACTAACTGTCACTCAACTAATAAACTGTCCGTCATCATCGACATCTTCAGCATCTGGTTTTCATCATGATCAATCATGACAGAAGCCAATATCTTTAACTAATGTTGTATTGGTGTTGATGGTCCAAACACCATGTGAGCTGATGGTTCATGTTCCTCCACAGAGAGGACCAGGAGAGCTCAGAGGTTCCCTCAGGTCCGTCTGCCCAGCAGCATCAAACACACCTGGACTCCATCTTCATGGTGTGTACATGAACAACTACGTTTACATCTCTCAGGTCACCATCATCTCCATGCTGCACTTTGTAGACCAGTGGATTGTTCGTCTGTCCAACATGGACCTGATGGTGGCTTCCATGTTCTAGTTGGGGTCATTCACAGAATGTTCTGTTCCAGCTGCTGGAGGAGAACATCCTCACTTTTGTCAAGAACGAGCTGAAGAAGATCCAGAAGGTTGTGAGTTCAGATTACCCAGAATGCTTAGAGAAAGAGGATGAGGAGGTGCTGGATGAAGAGCAGAGGAGGAGCAGAGAGGCATTTGTGAAGATCTCAGTGCACTTCCTGAGGAGAATGAAGCAGGAGGAGCTGGCTGAGCGTCTGCAGAGCAGTAAGAGGATTTCTCTACAGACTTACCATGCTGATGAATGAGACCTTCACTAATGTCTCAAGAGATGGACAGAATATATTCATAGTCATTCTCTGAGGAGAGGACATGTTGAAATCTATTCTTTGACTCATTGATCTTCTTTGTTGTCTTCATTCAGGACTTCTTCCTGCAGATTGTCAGCGTGAACTCAAATCCAACCTGAAGAAGAAGTTCCAGTGTGTGTTTGAGGGGATCGCTAAAGCAGGAAACCCAACCCTTCTGAATGAGATCTACACAGAGCTCTACATCACAGAGGGAGGGACTGCAGAGGTCAATCAAGAACATGAGGTCAGACAGATTGAAACCGCATCCAGGAAACCAGCTAGACCAGAAACACCCATCAGACGAGAAGACCTCTTTGAAGCCTCAGCTGGAGGAGAGGAACCAATCAGAACAGTGATGACTAAGGGAGGGGCTGGCATTGGGAAAACAGTCTTGACACAGAAGTTCACTCTAGACTGGGCTGAAGACAAAGACCACCAGGACATACAGTTCATATTTCCATTCACCTTCAGAGAGCTGAATGTGCTGAGAGAGAAGAAGTTCAGCTTGGTGGGACTTGTTCATCACTTCTTCAGTGAAACCAGAGCAGCAGGAATCTGCAGGTTTGAAGAGTTCCAGGTTGTGTTCATCTTTGACGGTCTGGATGAGTGTCGACTTCCTCTGGACTTCCACAACAATGAGATCCTGACTGATGTCACAGAGATCTCCTCAGTGGATGTGCTCCTCACAAACCTCATCAGGGGGAACCTGCTTCCCTCTGCTCGCCTCTGGATCACCACACGACCTGCAGCAGCCAATCAGATCCCACCTGAGTGCGTTGGCATGGTGACAGAGGTCAGAGGGTTCACCGACCCCCAGAAGAAGGAGTACTTCAGGAAGAGGTTCACAGATAAGAAGCAGGCCAGTAGGATCATCTCTCATATCAAGACCTCACGAAGCCTCCACATCATGTGCCACATCCCAGTCTTCTGCTGGATCACTGCTACAGTTCTGGAGGAGGTGTTGAAGACCAGAGAGGGAGGAGAGCTGCCCAAGACCCTGACTGCGATGTACATCCACTTCCTGGTGGTTCAGTCCAAAGTGAAGAAGGTCAAGTACGATGGAGGAGCTGAGAGGGATCCACACTGGAGTCCAGAGAGCAGGAAGATGATCGAGTCTCTGGGAAAACTGGCCTTTGATCAGCTGCAGAAAGGCAACCTGATCTTCTATGAATCGGACCTGACAGAGTGTGGCATCGATATCAGAGCAGCCTCAGTGTACTCAGGAGTGTTCACTCAGATCTTCAGAGAGGAGAGAGGACTGTACCAGGACACGGTCTTCTGCTTCGTCCATCTGAGTGTTCAGGAGTTTCTGGCTGCTCTTCATGTCCATCTGACCTTCTTCAGCTCTGGTGTCAATCTGCTGTCAGAAGAACAAACAACCTCCCTGGAGTCTAAAGGCTTTAAACCCAATCCTAAACCAAAGCGTCTCTACCAGAGTGCTGTGGTCAAGGCCTTACAGAGTCCTAATGGACACCTGGACTTGTTCCTCCGCTTCCTCCTGGGTCTTTCCCTAGAGACCAATCAGAGTCTCCTACGAGGTCTGCTGACACAGACAGGAAGTCGCTCACAGACCAATCAGGAGACAGTCCAGTACATCAAGGAGAAGATCAGTAAGAATGTGTCTCCAGAGAAAAGCATCAATCTGTTCCACTGTCTGAATGAACTGAATGATGGTTCTCTAGTGGAGGAGATCCAACGGTTCCTTAAATCAGGACGTCTCTCCTCAGAGAAACTGTCTCCCGCTCAGTGGTCAGCTCTGGTCTTCATCTTACTGTCACCACAAGAAGATCTGGAGGTGTTTGACCTGAAGAAATACTCTGCGTCAGAGGAGGCTCTTCTGAGGCTGCTGCCGGTGGTCAAAGCCTCCAACAAAGTTCTGTGAGTTCTTTGTTGTTGTTTAATTTCTCATTTACAGTCACTTGGTTCTCTGTCTTATTTTTCTTTAAAACAAGTCAGCTAAAGGATAGAGAAGCCTCACTTTGGATTTAACTAATAAAAGGCATTGAATCTAGTACTAAAGATACTAGAGTGCTTTCTGTAAACAGTAGAGCAAATTAACTGACTTTTTTCATCTTGTTTATAGTAGAACGAAAGCCCTTCTAAACACTTTCACTGAACATATTTTTCTTTGTTCTTACTGATTGTATCTTAGTCCAAACTCATCATCGAAGAGGATTTCATTTGATCTTTTATCTTTCCTCTTGTCTGTTGTTGTCTCTTCAGACTGAGTGGCTGTAACCTCTCAGAGAGAAGCTGTGAAGCTCTGTCCTCAGTCCTCAGCTCCCAGTCCTCTAGTCTGAGGGAGCTGGATCTGAGTAACAACCACCTGCAGGATTCAGGAGTGAAGCTGCTGTCTGTTGGACTGGAGAGTCCACACTGTCACCTGGAGACTCTCAGGTCGGGATTCAATTCATGTCCACTTGGTGTCTTTATTTACATCAGTGGCACATTTCTTACCTTCACAAGATTATTCTGCGTGCATGATTTATATTAAATATGTATTATCCAAATATATCATACGTAATAAATGTTAAACATGTTGTAGAGGTTATTTATATAATGTTACAAATATGAATATTGGAGACTAATCATAGAGTTATCGGTAATGTTTTAAATTGTTGATGTACATTAGTGGGTGTTTGGTTGTGAACTTGAAACCAGTCAGTAACCATGTTAATGTGACCCCTCAGTAGCCGACAGTATCTCAGTCCTGCAGTGACCTTCTAGTCCTCACGGCTCCCTCAGATCATGTGACATGTGTGTTGTGTTGTGTGTCGGCAGCCTGTCAGGCTGTCTGATCACAGAGGAAGGCTGTGCTTCTCTGGTCTCGGCTCTGCGCTCCAACCCCTCCCACCTGAGAGAGCTGGACCTGAGCTACAATCATCCAGGAGACTCGGGGGTGAAGCTGCTGTCTGCTGGACTGGATGATCCTCAGTGGAGACTGGAGACTCTCAGGTATGAAGAGGCTGCACCCACAGACCATCAGTCTGTAGAGGAGCTGGAAACCTTTTCTCTGTCCCACTGTCAGCCTGGTTAATAAGAGCTTGACACACCAAGCTGACCTCAAACTACCAGAGACTCATCCAACTGTTTGTGTCTTTTTGTCTTTTTAGTTATAATGTCTGGAGTAAAGAACGTCTACGCAGCTGGTTAGCCTCTTTTAGCTCATTTCCTGTTTGGTTCAGTCTCAGTGTTTTCATCCAACAAGCTGTGATGAAGTTCACTACCTGCTGAGCGCCAACCAGCACTCACACCGAGTCAGAGACCAGCTGGGGAACATAGATGAGCATTTAGCAGCATGAGACACAGATATAAAAGAGAGAGAATAGTGGACTTCTATCCATCAGGTGACACAAAGACTCCTGATGAATTATCATGTTGATGTGAACCTGCTGGACGTTGAAGCAGCTGGTTGATCTCATGTTAAACAGAACTACTTTAGAAGATGTCACATGTTGTGTTTACAGCTTGTTGATGATGGTCAGTGTGATACTAATAATAATAGATGATGAATAAGGATCAGGCAATCAGAAGAAGCTTCACTGCAGTAGAAGAAGAGGTGGTCCATGTGGACATGAAGGACAAAGCTGTGTGTGATGTAATGTCCATGTCTCCATGCTGCTCTGACCCCCCTCCTCCTTTCAGGGTGGAGCCTAATGGAGTCCGATGGTTGAGACCAGGTCTGAGGAAGTGTAAGTGTGCTTTGATTCATGAAGATTCAACCATCTTCACACTGTGACATCACTCATTCACCTCTGTGACGTCATCATCAACGTGTCAGTAGATGAACACATGATTAATAACTGCAGCTGTATTGTGTCTTGTTCTCTCATCAGATTCCTGTGAACTCACAATCGACACAAACACAGTAAACAAACACCTCAAACTGTCTGACAACAACAGGACGGTCACATGTGTGATGGAGGATCAGTCACATCCTGATCATCCAGACAGATTTGACTTCTGGCCTCAGCTACTGTGTAGAACTGGTCTGACTGGTCGCTGTTACTGGGAGGTCGAGTGGAGAGAAAGAGTTCATGTATCAGTGAGTTACAGAGGAATCGGGAGGAAAGGAGACAGTAGAAACTGTTGGTTTGGATACAATGATCAGTCCTGGAGACTGAGATGTTCTGATAAAGGTTACTCTGTCCGTCACAATAAGACCGTAACACACATCTCCTCCTCCTCCTCCTCCTCCTCTGGTAGAGTAGCAGTGTATGTGGACTGTCCTGCTGGCTCTCTGTCCTTCTACAGAGTCTCCTCTGACACACTGATCCACCTCCACACCTTCAGCACCACATTCACTGAACCTCTTTATCCTGGGTTCAGCTTCTTGGATGGGTCCAGGTCTGGTGACTCAGTGTCTCTGTGTTCTCTGGAGGAGTGAGAGTCTCCTCCTGGTGGAGAACCTTCCTCTCTGTCACACAGCTGATGTAGGTTCATGTGGGTGTAGATGCAGGTGGAGCAGGTGAGGGGTACCTGAGCTGGTGTGGACTCTGGGGGGTCCACAGCTCTCTGGGACTTGTGGTCTGAAGGAGCTCAGCGAGGTGTGTTTTAATGTTGTGAGCTCGTTGCCTCTGTGGATCAGTAGATCATCATTTTAGGTGTTGGGTCCTAATCAGAGTTTAATCTTAATCCTTATGTGTCGCAATGTTCAAGGAGACGTTCTGTAAGTTGAGACTTATCTTAAACTGCTGGCTAAGGATAAAGGTAAATACAGTAAGATTGTAATGCATGTCGGCGGTAATGACTCCCGATTACGCTGCTCGGAGGTCACTAAAGTTAATGTGGAATCGGTGTGTACATACGCTAAAACAGTGTCGGACACCGTAGTTTTCTCTGGCCAGTGACGTCATGTGCAGCCGCATGTCGTCATTCCGCCGCTGGTTGTCGAGGTGGTGCCCAGTAAATAATGTGGGCTTCGTTGATCACTGGAAGACGTTTTGGGGAGAGCCTGGTCTGATTAGGAGGGACGGCATCCATCCCACTTTGGACGGAGCTGAACTTCTTTCTTCTTCTTTCTTTGGTCCTTAAAATGGACAAGGTAATTATTGTGGGTGACTTTAACATTTAACACCCTCTCCTGTCGGACCATTGTCTGATAACCTTTGAATTTCTACTATCGGAACCACCTCCTCCTGCCAAAGGTTTCTACAGTCGACGCTTATTGGATACCGCTGTAGCCTCATTTAAAGAAGCCATTCCTTCTGCTCTAAGTTCAGTGCCCTGCCTCAAGATACAAGAAGACTCCTGTGAGAACCTCAGTCCGTCCCAGATCGATAATTTTGTCGATACTGCTACAGGCTCTTTGAGAGTGGCGCTGGACGCTATTGCTCCTCTGGAAAGAAGAATAGCAACAAGAAGGAAGTTTGCTCCGTGGTATAACCCTCAAACACGGAACCTAAAGCAAACTGTGCGGAAACTTGAACAATTATGGCGTTCCACCAAATCAGAAGGATCTAGGCTAGTTTGGCAAGACAGCCTTAAAACATATAAGAAGGCTCTCCGTAATGCAATTGTCTCTTGGATCCGATTCCGACCAAGCTGCTTAAGGAAGTTTTTCCTTTAGTTAGCACATCCTTATTAGATATTATGAATCTGTCTTTGTTGACAGGACATATGTACCACAGTCCTTCAAGGTAGCTGTAATTAAACCTCTTCTTAAGAAACCTACTCTTGCTCCAGAGGTGTTGGCTAACTACAGACCTATCTCTAATCTTCCCTTCCTCTCTAAGATCCTTGAGAAATCCGTCGCAAATCAATTATGTGACTTTCTACAAAACAATGATTTGTTCAAGGATTTCCAGTCAGGATTTCGAGCACATCATAGTACAGAAACAGCACTGGTAAAAATTACGAATGATCTTCTACTTGCATCGGACCAAGGACTCATCTCTTTTCTTGTCTTGCTGGACCTCAGTGCCGCATTTGATACCATAGACCATTGTATCCTGTTGCAGAGACTAGAACATTTAATTGGTATCAAAGGAACTGCACTCAGCTGGTTTAAATCCTACTTATCGGACCGATCCCAGTTTGTGCTTGTAAACGGTGAATCCTCGAAGACCACCAATGTTGGTCACGGAGTCCCACAAGGTTCTGTACTTGGACCGATTTTATTTACCCTTTATATGCTTCCTTTGGGCGATCTTATCAGGAAACACACCATAAACTTCCATTGTTATGCAGACGATACTCAACTGTATCTGTCGATCAAGCCAGAAGAGACGGACCAGCTAGTTAGACTTCAAGAATGTCTTGGAGACATCAAAACTTGGATGACCGGCAACTTCCTGATGCTAAACTCAGAAAAAACGTTATCCTGATAGGCCCAGAGCGCCTTTGAAGCCAGCTGTCACGTGATAGTTTTTATGGATGGAATTGCTCTGGTACCCAGCAGCACCGTCAGGAATCTGGGAGTTCTCTTCGACCAGGATATGACCTTCAACGCCCTATAAAGAAGACTTTAAGGACTGCCTATTTTCATCTACGTAACATATCAAAAATCAGGAACTTCCTGTCTCAAAGTGATGCAGAAAATGAGTTCATGCGTTTGTCACTTCCAGACTTTACTACTGTAATTCTCTGTTATCAGGCTTCTCTTGTAAATCTCTTAAGCCTCTCCAGTTGATTCAGAATGCTGCAGCACGTCTATTAACAAGAACTAAGAAAAGGGATCATATCACTCCTGTATTAACTTCTCTGCACTGGCTTCCTGTTAAATCAAGAATAGATTTTAAGGTACTTCTCCTCACCTACAGGGCACTTGCTGGTGAGGCACCGTCGTATCTTAAAGAGCTTGTAACACCTTATTGCCCTACAAGGCAACTGCGCTCCATAGATGCTGGTTACTTGTTGTTCCTATGGTTTTAAAAAGTAGGCTGGGGGCCAGAGCCTTCAGTTATCAAGCTCCTCTTTTGTGGAACCAGCTTCCACTTTCAGTCCGGGGGGCAGATTCGGTCAGCAGGTCTCCGTAGATCGTGGTTCCTTCGGGACCCTGGTCCTGACACCTGCCGTGGCCCTGCTGACGCCTGCTGCTGCCGTCATCATCGTCATCGTCATTATTATTTTAGATATGAATCATATTACTGTACTCGTAAACCAACATTACCCTCTGCTAGTCTCTGTGCTCTCCCTCCCCACAGGCTTCTGTGGATGGTGGTTCTATCACATAGAACCACCATCACAGACACACACCATCACATACAACCACCGTCACATAGAACCACCATCACATAGAACCACCATGTGACGGTGGTTGTATGTGACGGTGGTTCTATGTGATGGTGGTTCTATGTGATGGTGGTTCTATCTGATGGTGGTGGTCCCCGCAGTGGTCCTGCTGTGCGTCTGGTTTACTACTCACAGTTACTTGAATCATTTCTGTCATATAGTCTCATGTATTATACATTGTTCATTCTGTCCACATGACATCATTGTAGTCTGTCCGTCAGGAGGCGGATCCCTCCTCTGACGTTCTCACTGAGGTTTCTTCCCTTTTTTCCCTCTTGTAAGGGTTTTTTTATTGTTTGGGGAGTTTGTCCTGTGCCGATGGTGGGTTTCGGGGCAGAGGATGTTGTATGTGTACAGACTGTAAAGCCCTCTGAGGCACATTTGTAATTTGCGATTATGGGCCCTACAAAATAAAATGAATTGAATTGAACTCTGATCCATTCTCCATTATCACGCCTTAAGGGACTATGTGGACTTCTCATCTTTGAGAGGATGATGAGCACCTATGAGGAGATAACGTGTACTCGAATCATTTCTGTTGGATGAATTTAATGTATTATACATATTTTACGTTGTTCATTTGGTGCGTCCATCGCAGTCTGTCCGTCCCAGGGAGGATCGTCCTCTGTCTCTCTAAAGGTTTCTTCCCTTTGTTCTCCCCATCAAATACTTTTTCATTGTTTGGGGTTAGGATGTCACATGTGTACAAACTGTAAAAACCTCTGAGGCAAATTTGCGATATTGTGGGATACACAATAAAGTTAAATGAATCAAATAATCATGGCAAAAACTGACACCGCCCCCTGTAAGTATCTCAGACAGGTTAAATGTATAAGTGTTGGTAAAATGTAACGGCTCATTTTAAGTGCCTCATCATTATTTAATCAGATTATATTTCTTCAAATGTGTCTGCTGGCAGGAACCTTCATTAATGCATCATCATCCAATGAGAATAATGATCTCAACTCTTTCAGCACGAGTAGATAAAAACAAGCTCAAAGAGTTGAAATGATGGGAATGAATGTGAGCCACACCTTTGGCGTCTTTCTGGAACGCGGCGGTTAGTGTCGTCACAATGTCGGTGGAATCCGGCCTCTCAGGTTTTTGCTGCTCCGTCAGATTCTGTTGGTTGGAGGTGAAACCAACAACATACGTGTTCATGAGACAGCAGTGACGAGTCATCGACACATTCTTTGATTAGGTGGAAGCTTTTCTCACCATTTCTGACAACATAAATGGAAAAGTGTGCCAGATGAGTCTCGGCGTTTCAGGACGGCGCCACGCCTCTGTTCCTCGCCGCTCAGGGGGGTCACGTGACTGTGATCCGTCAGCTGCTGTCGTCTGGGGCAAAGGTCAACCAATCGAGGGAGGTAACGTCCTCGCCTCTTTGTAGAGATTTAAAGTTTAAGGTTCCTCTTTCTCAGCCCCTCTGCTGCCTGCGTCCTCTCTAATCTTCATCTTTTTGATCGTGACCTCTTCTTCCGTCCCTTTGTCTCTTCTGTCCATTTGTCTTGAATGAGTAATTATTCATATTAAGACATTTCTCATGACAGTTTTTCATTTCTATAATCCCCATGTTGACCCAAATACTCCATCCCAGAAGCTTAGACATACATACATGTTTCAATGTACTCATCTGTGTATATTGTTTTACTTTTTGCTTGTGTATTTGTATCTAATTTGATCTTATTTTATTATATTATATATAATTATAAAGTCAAATTCCTCTATTTGTAAAATACGTGATAATAAATGGATTCTGATTCTGTGGTGAATAATCCTCACTGTGTATAAAACACAATAATAACGTGTAGTTACATCTTCGTCTGCAGTGTTTTCTGACGTCACAGCTGAAGGGGACAATAACACGTCACGTGACACCGCGGAAGTAACAGCTGACTGTTCTGTTGATGCGGAAGAAGAAAGACGAGACTTTAGTTTAAAGTTGTTTCTAACAGGGAAACGTTGGTAGCGGATAACAACAACAACAACAACAACAACAAGGTGTTTACAGTCTCACCGACGACGACAGGATCAAGTTTGACCGACGTATCGGAAGCCAAATGGCTGGTGGTAATTTACAGGTGAGTCGCAAACTTTCTCAGGTGAGCTAAGCTAAGCTAAGCTAAGCTAGTTACCTGTTGACATGAGAAGGCGGACAACAAGAGACGTTCAAGGGTTTTCATCTTTCAAACACAAAGTTAGTAGTAAAAGAAGTAATATTTAACGTCTGTATCGTGATTTCTTGTTGTACGGATGAGCTACAACGAGCGATGACATTTGGGTTGCCAGGTCGGGAAAGAACCCTTTAAAGATGCTAAACATCTATGAAGAAGTTTATATTTATTGTTAGAGTTGAGATGTTTCTTCCCTTTAAACTTAAAAGACCTTTAAAGGAAAGACAATATAATTAGCTAAGTACTTCCAAACTGTTCAAACCACACTTTGCTCAATTAAAAGAAGGCAAAATATTAGTTAAAAGTTCATTTTAAACTTGTGCAGCAAAATCTTCATTTTATCTGACTGGTATAAATTTCCTCATATACGGATATAAAGTCCCTTAAAATCATCAGATACTTTGATGATCAGTGCAGACTAAAGTACTATAATATGTCATATTTTTATACTGTAATTACATGTTGCTGATAATACTTTTGTACTTTCCCATATGTGGGATTTTAAAGGAATAAATCATTTGTACTTATAATAATAGAATGTAATATTCTTACTACGTTGTATTATTACTAGTTAATAAATCATGTAGTACGTTTTTTTTTAACATTTCTACTAAATAGGATGCTAAACCTGCGTTGAATATTTCTTGGTTACTTATGACAGACTGTACATCACGTGTGTCTCCTGAAGTCTTCTCCTTCACGCCGTCTCTCCTCAGAAAGCCATCGATCTCGCCAGCAAGGCCGCTGAGGAAGACAAAGCCAAAAACTACGAGGAGGCCCTGCGATGTTACCAGATGGCCGTCCAGTACTTCCTCCACGTGGTTAAGTGTGAGGAGCCCGAGCGCCGCGTCCTCTGAGGTTCCTCCCTCCACACGCCGTCCACTTTACGGTCCAGGCCGCCTTGTGCTTGTCTCCTGCAGATGAAACCAAAGGCGATCGAGCGGCGCAGAGCATCAGAGCGAAGTGCGTCGACTACCTGGACCGAGCCGAGCAGCTGAAGGAGTATCTGAGCAAGAAGGAGAAGGCTCCTCCGGCCAAACCCGTCAAGGAGTCCGGCGACAAAGGGTGAGCGAGCGGGGGACGTCCCCGTCTTCAAACCACACAGTCGCGTCATCACCGCTGTGACACTGATCTCTCAATCCTGCACCTCCGCGTTCTCCACTTCGAGCGGCTTCGAGCTGAGAGACGAATGGATGAAGATTCGAGAGATTAATGTGACTACGTGATCCTTAAAATGATGTCGCCCAACCCGATATGTGCTGTGCTCGCATTTCAGGGAGGAAAGTGGGGACGACGGAGAGAAAAAGAAGTTTGAGAATCAGCTCTCAGGTGAAGACGCACATTAAAACAAGAACTGAACCGACTGTTTATTGTCACGTATGTGTCTGTTATCGATCCCCGAGTCTCATTCACTCCAACAGGATCTCATTTAAACACATGGCAGCGTCACAGTTGACCTTTGTCCAGCAGAACCTGAACGCATCTATTGCTTCATTTAGCAGCGGCGCTGCACACTAATCACCAGGTGCACTGTAAGTGAGCCAGAGAGGCTCGTTTCCGTCTGCCGTCGCCGGCCGGACGTTTTTAAGGCCTAAAATTAAAAAAAATGCATCACAGGGTAACTTGGATAGCTACGTTAGCCGTTAGCTAGTCCCATTTTGAGACTTTTCTGCATGGACTCGCCACCGACAGGTCGACTCTGCGGCGTCGCTGGATGTTAAACGCGATGCTTCATCAAACCCCGCCTCCCTTACAGGAGCCATCGTCATGGAGAAGCCAAACATCAAGTGGGACGATGTCGCCGGACTAGAAGGCGCCAAAGAAGCCTTAAAAGAAGCCGTGATCCTGCCCATCAAATTCCCTCACCTGTTCCAAGGTACGGACCCCCACAGCTCGGCGCCCCCCCGGGGCCACGGGGAGGCCTCCATGCTAAAGCCTGTGTTTGTGCAGGGAAGAGGACTCCCTGGAGGGGGATCCTCCTGTTCGGTCCTCCGGGGACAGGGAAGTCCTACCTGGCCAAGGCAGTGGCCACCGAGGCCAACAACTCCACCTTCTTCTCCATCTCCTCCTCCGACCTCGTGTCCAAGTGGCTGGGCGAGAGTGAAAAGTGAGGGGGGGGGCAAGGGGGGGGCTCCTTTCACACCGCGACTCCTTTTTAGACGCTATACAGCTTGATTTTATTTAGTAAATACTAAGAATACATTAATGGAGTATTTTTTGTTGCACTATTTCAATCCTACTGAACTATTGTGTACATATTGTCTATTTGTGTACTTGTTGTGTACATTGTACTTGGACCCTCCGTCTCCCTCCAGGTTGGTGAAGAGCTTGTTCGCTTTGGCCCGAGAGCACCGGCCGTCCATCATCTTCATCGACGAGATCGACTCGCTCTGCGGCTCCAGGAGCGAGAACGAGAGCGAGGCGGCGCGGAGGATCAAGACCGAGTTCCTGGTCCAGATGCAAGGTGAGCGGGGGGGCGGGGCAGGGGGCGGGGCGAGGGGGGCGGAGCGGCGTCCCTTCTGTTAGTGACGTGTGAGCGTAAACGTGTCCTTCTGCCATCAGGCGTCGGAAACAACAACGAGGGAATCCTGGTGCTCGGAGCCACTAACATTCCGTGGACTTTGGACTCTGCGATCAGGAGGAGGTTGCTTCCATTACTTCATTGATATCGTTGATTATTATCAATTACCTGCATCGGAAATGTGGGGAATTTACCTCTTTGGTCTCATAAGTGATCTCCATCCCTCTTAAGTTACTACCGACTATTTGGAACTAAATCTGATTGGTTGGTGATCCTGTGCTTCCATTTGATTTAGAATGAAGTCTTTTAACCAGCTGATCAGATCGTATTGATTAGGTGGAAAAAGCTCTTATTAGAATGAATAAACTTTGCAGCACTGATGATCTAAAGGGAAGATTTAAGATTCAAGCGTCTGATTATTTCCGCCTCAGGTTTGAGAAGCGGATCTACATCCCGCTGCCCGAGGCGCACGCCCGCTCCTTCATGTTCAAACTGCATCTGGGCTCCACCCCCAACAGCCTGGTGGAGGCGGACTTCGTGACGCTGGGCCAGAAGACGCAGGGCTACTCCGGCGCCGACATCAGCGTCATCGTGAGGGACGCGCTCATGCAGCCGGTCCGCTTGGTCCAGAGCTCCACCCACTTCAAAAAGGTAACGCCGAACACGAACGAGCCGCTCCGGAGCAGGACTCCTCCTGCCCCCTTAGAATAGCACAACCTGCCTTCCCACTGCGGCGTAGAGACCATAAGTAACAAAGTACACATACTTTGTTACTGTTCTTAAGTAGAAATTGTGGGTATTTATACTTTACTGGAGTATTTATCTTTTCAGACCAGTTTTTACTTCTATCTGTACTTTCTACTTCCATTTTAAAAATAGCCTCGATATCTCCGGCTTGTCGTCTTCAAACACACACACAAAGAAACCAGACAAACTGCTCCGTCCAGATGGAGCGAGTGTGAACGTGGTTACTAAACATTTACTATTCAGACGCCCTATTGGTGTTCTCAGTCGGGTCCTTTGTCAGAACAACGCAAGCTGATCTCAGTCGGTATTTAGCGACATGCTGATCTTCACGGTTTATCTGGCAAATAATGGTCTTAAATAAAGTGACGTGTGTCTTAATGCGGCTTTAGAAATGAACACAAAGGGATTCTGTATTTGCTCATGAAGCCTGAAACGGGTCATTTGGCCGATGTTTTGATGACCGACCGCTGGCAGGAAGTCTTTTTAGTGTCTCCACTTCTACTGAGTAATGAACGTGAGGACGTCTGACACCGCGTTGTGGGTCGGAGTGCTGCAGCCCCTCAGGTGGCCACCAGGAGGCGACTCCTCTGGCCGACGAGGGTTATTTTCATCAGTGGAGCCTTTCCAGGGTTCAGCCAATCAGCATCCGGTGTTTCTTTTTGTCCTTTTCGAGGTCCGCGGGTCGTCGTGGAACAAACCCGACGTGGTGGTGGAAGACCTGCTGACCCCGTGTTCGCCGGGGGACCCCGCCGGCGTGGCGATGACGTGGATGGACGTCCCCGGGGAGAAGCTGCTGGAGCCGGTGGTGTCCATGGTAGGGGGAGGGGCTGCGGGTCGCCCGGCGTAGTTTGATGGGCCGCGTTGTGACGCGCTGTGAATCTTCTTCCTCTCGCAGCCCGACATGCTGAGGTCGCTCACCAGCACCAAGCCCACCGTGAACGAGCAGGACCTGGACAAGCTGAAGAAGTTCACCGAGGATTTTGGTCAAGAAGGTTAATAATGATCCTCTTTGAGAAGAGCGCAATCATTCCATCGATCGCCTTGTGTCTAAGCGGCAAAACTAGAGAAAATGTCGCCCCACGTTACTGTTTCTTTATCCAATTAGCGGTCAAAGTAAATAAGAAAGTTTGGATGTTTCTAGTGTTTGTATGAGCGTCTTCTCCAGAGTGTCAGAACATGTTTACAGAACAAGAACCGGAGCAAAGAGGTTCTCAGTGTGTCCAAGAAGCTAAAAGAATCTTTATTTAGAATATTTTCACCTCTGAAGCTTCCTGCCGAGGAGCTGAAGCCGTTCTCCTTGTTCTCCTTGAACACACCAGACTCCATTGATAGAAACAGTCATTTTATTTACCCAACAGGATCTTCTGATCTCCTGCTCCTCCATCAGTGTGTTAGTTTGTGTTGTTGTGTGACTTTGGTGAATCACAACTAAACATTTAAACCAACAAAGTCACACAACAACACAAACTAACACACTGATGGAGGCAGAAGCCCAAACGCAACCTGCCAGAGTAAAAGGAGGGTTTTTATTCATGGAGTCTGGTGTCTTCAGAGCACAAAGACGACGGCTTCATGTTCCGGTCAGAAGGGAAAAGGTGAAAATATTCTGCAGACATCGTAGATTCTTTCAGGTTCTGAAATAGTTTCTCTCCACTTCGACTGGAGAAGCTGCTCATAGAACCTTTACTTCCACATGAAGCACCTGGTGTTATTGGACAATTGACCAAAGTGATTAATCAACGATCAAAATCTTAAGCGATGACTTTTTGTCGTGTATCATCTAATGAATCGACTTTATATTCATCGGTGAGTCATCGATCCCGTGTTTACGTTTCCTCTTCTTTGTTTTAAACATGATGAATGTATAAAACGCTGCGGTGGGTAAATGCACATTTCCATCACTACGTATAATAATAATAATGTGTATAATCTTTCTTTTGCACTGAATGGAATCGGCTCTTTTATAACTGGGAATTTCTACGTTTAAATGTTTGAAAAGGTCTCATTTAAATATTTAAATAACCTTTTACTGGTTGTTGTTGTTGTTCCTCTAAACATGAAGCCGTGTGCAGCAGCTTCACGGGCCGTCTGGGTATCGAGTTACTAAACGATATGAACTGTTTGTGTGTGAAGCCTGTTCGGGGTGTGAGATGTCGGGGGGGCGGCGGGTTCCTTTTGGGGGTCCAGAGGTTTCTTACCGGGTCCAGAAATAAAACTGTTGCTGTATCTTCCGTCTCAGGGTGAAATAAACACAAGCAACAAGTCTCTGAACCTTGTGAACACATTTAATTGTTGAAAATACATCTGTTAACTCTCGTTTATTTCATCATTTGCTGTGATGAAATAATGCTGATCCTAGTAAGTTAAGTTATTAATGAAGACTCATAAATAAACAATGTTCAAGTCTTAGGAGGGAAACGTAACCGATCAGAACATTTGGAAAGTAACAAACATCGAGAGATGATAAAAACATTGAAGGAAAGAAAAGAACTCAGCAGCTGCCAAAGAAAAGATAAACTTATTAAGTTATGAGCGACGTCCTTCTTCACTTCAAAGACTCGTGGCGTGATGATGTCATCGGACATCCGCCTCACCTCAGCCCGCCTCCACCACAAACATCGGGTAACCACGGCAACGTGGCGTGTATGTACAACCGGAACATGTGGAACAAAGTAAACGGATGTGAGCACAAAATCAAATAAAACGCAGATTGATGAGTTTTACATTAATTCTGCAAACATATAAACGAACGTGAATCAGAAAGCGAGCCCGTACACATGTGGATATATAGATACGTACTTCTCCAGAGACGTCGTGAGGTTCTGCTTTGTTGGTTTTTAACCGACGTTGAGCGGCGAGGACGCAGAAATATGACGCGTGTAAATATGAACGGATCATTCCAAGCAAACGGAAACACCGGGATTCTCTGCAGCAAAGACGACGCACCGATGATCTCGCGTGAATATTACATCTCTGTAGATGACGGACGCTTCACTCCGCGCATTAAACACTTTGGGGTTAAATAACATTCATATTCAGACCTCTGTTACATGAGAAAGTGCTAACAGTACTTAGCGTGTGCATATAGAACACGTCACAATCATCCTTCATAGATGCAGGCATCTCCCCCTCGTGGGGGGGGTGGAACAGGGGGGGGAGGAACAGGGGGCGGGGGGGGGGAGGTTCCATCACTAGAAGACGGCAAAGAGGGAGCCGATGGCCAAACCGGTTGCAGCTCCGGCGAGCATCCCCAGAGCCACGTCCCCCCCGTCCTCCCACTGCCGCTCCCGCATCACGCCGCCGTTCGCCCCAGGGCCGCCGTACACACCTGGAGGGAGGGGGGAGGGGGGGTAGTAATGCCCAATAAATAAAAGAAGCCGGAAAACTGTCTCCATGCATTGAAATATATATATATATTTTGGCAGCAGGTGGATGGTGGACGCGCCTCCCTGCGGCCCGAGGCCCCCCCCCCTCTCACCTGGGTACTGGTAGGGGTAGGCCACGGCGTAGGGCTGCCCGTCGGGCGAGTACACGATCTGGGCGGCGTGCGGCGGGGGGGCCGCCACGAAGTCCCCGTACGGGGCCGGAGCAAAGACCTGCTGAGAGGCGAGGGGACAGCGAGAGACACCATCAGTCCTCTTCCTGTTGCTATGGAGACGAAGCTACGAGTCGTAGATGTCTCACCGCATGTACACCAGGTAAAAGCATCAGAGACCACGACGCTTTCCTCCACATGTCCTCGTCTGTAACGAGTGTAAATGGTATGTGTGCACGAGGACACGTTCATGCAGGTCAAGCCTCTTACCTGAGGCGGGGGGGCGTAATCTGAGTAGGGGGGAGGAGCAGACGGCCTCACTTCCTGTGCAAAGGTGACCTGAGGTGTAGAAACCACCTGGAACCAGGACAACAAAACCCCCCGCGTGAAAGCTGAACACGAAGATCCTGAACTGCGTCTCGAGGTCTCATTCAAACTCACCGTATTGATTCTGGCATCCTGCAGCGCCATCGTCCACGCGCTGCAACGCAGACAACCGTTACAATCAGTACACGGACGACAACGCGAACGCGGTTTACACAGACGACCGGAAGTGACGTCGTGGCGACTCACAGCGCGTCGTCGGCGCTCTCCGCACACAGGCTGACCACCCGTCCGTCCCTGCACACGATCTGGAACAAGGCGTCGCGCACCTTCGCCTCGGGCGCGTTCAGCTCTAACGGGAGCGACAAAGCGCGACATTAACAAGGGAACAGAAGGCTGCGGCCGATGACGTCGTCCTGCGGCCGATGACGTCGTCACCTGGACACGCGGCGGCGCCGCGGATGTTGATGCAGTCGACCCTCATGTGGAGCTCGTCCTCCATGTCGCAGCGCTGCTGGTCGTTGAAGAAGACGAGGCGGCCATCGGCCCACAGGTCGAACCAGTTCCTCTTCCAGCGGCGCAGGATGGTGCCTTTCAGCGGGAATAAGAGAGCATACGTGTTTCAGAAGCGTCACCCAACACACACAAGCTGCTGAGCCGCGTCGGGATTCTCACTTTGTCGATGGAGCCAACCGCTCTTCACCATGGCCATCGTAGAGCCGACCCCTGAAACAAGAATGTAATATTTATACTATATCATACATTTTTATTTGATGAACTAAGCATAGTTATTAAACATTGTGTAAATACCGCATGCGTCATGTGACTGTGTTGTATTGTATTATAGTTATGTATCACATTTCCAAGTCTGGAACTCTATCTTTATTATACGTTTTTATATAATAATCATTAAAAATACAACATGCCATTTTATAGTTGATATTATATATTACTTAGTTTTACTTATTCAATTACAGCATATTGCGACACTATATTATAGCCTATGTTGCGTGTACTACTACATAACTACACTACTATATTTAGATGGTCTCTTATTCCATGTACTGTATCATAAATTTATTGTATTATTGTATTGTGTTGATATTCCGTAATAACACAAACACTGAGCTACGTTACATAATCACATAAAGTGAAACTCTTTCACTCCAACATACAAATGCTCTCGTATAGTTTCTGTGCATATTTTTGTTCTATGTTGCTCATTTGATTATTTCATAGTATCGCACCTCCTGACTGGGCGGGGCCAAAACTAACCTCGTGACTGCTAGCGCGATTAGCATAAATCCTCATGGCATAAATCAGATTGTCATGGCCCCATAGCAGCCTGCTAGCTGCCTGACGCTAACCGTCGGTGGCCAGTTGTGAATATGACATCATCGTTTCTAAATAGCACAAGTCGGATTGAACTGAAGTCCCTCCGACGCAACTGAAAAGTGTAGCTTAGCATGTTTCTACTCTTGACACCAGTCGAAGCTAGCTAGCAAACGTTAGCTTAACTGACGTGTGCACGGGACGTGTGGGTTGAATCTGTCGTACTTAAAGTTCAGCTAACGTTGGCAACTCTCACGGGACGTTGACTTCCCGTGAGAGTTGCGATCTGTCGTATTTAGCTATTGTTCGCAGCTAACGCTAACTAACCTATGAAAACTGAACTAGGTACGACAGCCCGCAGCTGACACGTGACGTCCCGTGTGAGTTGCGATCTGTCGTATTTAGCTCACTACTACGTTAACTAGCTTTAAAAACACTGCGCATTTGTAACCGAGAATGACAGGGAGTTAACGTGTAACAGCTGAGTGTAAGTCGCATACTTACTTGATGTGTTTGTATGTGTTATGAAGAAAATAAAAATAGATGAAGGCTTTTGCGAACAGGCAGCAAAACACGGAAGTGAGCTATACGAAAGAAGTTTAAATAAAGAGAGGATGCTCTCCTCGGAGTCAGAACGGCTTGACCGTTATGCCGATTGGACACAGGCCCGGTACGCATCCGTTACTTGCTCTTCGGTAGTTGCGCTTGGCCCCGCCCGCGGCGCATCTCACCGTCGGGCGCTCTCCGTAAAGAAGGGGGGCGTTTGTTTTGAATGACGTAAGACGTCAGCTGACACTGTTGGAAAGTGCAACCAGCCTCTGAGAGGGCGCGCTTGTTCGTGTCTGGTGGGCGGTGCAATATGTTTAAAATATACTTGATGTAAACAAACTGCCACTATTCAGCAATGAATCAAGTGAATAATGATAATTCGATGTGTATTAATAACAACACTGAGTTAAATTACTCTTCTGGGGAAGGTTTTCCTCGACGGAGGCAGTAAGCGACCGCTGGAGAAGCGACTGCCGGCTGCGCGTGCCAGTGACTAAAGTTGTATCCTGTGTGGCTCCGCAGTGCGCGTGTGTGCTCGACGGGAACTGCAAAGCCGCAGCAGCGACCGTCGTTTCATCGCCAGCACCGAGTGTATCCGAGCCACTGGCCGACCGGACCACCCAGGAATACAAAACAAGCCCGTCAACTCTCTGGACCACGGTTGTTTTTTTTAGAGCTAACAAAAATAAGGCAGAAGCTAAGTAGCTAACCTGAAATGGCGACGGCTATATACCTTGAGCATTACCTTGACAGTGAGTATCTGGGGTTACTCTGTATGGATATTCATATTTTGACCGTCTCGCATGTGTTTGCAGTTTAGTTCTACAGTATTGAATACTTTCACGCTTTGAGGATAGCAGCGACGCGCGTTAGCAGCTAGCGTTAGCTGTTAGGTCACTAGCTTGCTTGCTAACTGATTAGCATTGCCATCGGTAGTGGTGAAGTTGAGCGGGCGGTGTTAAACGCACCCAGTGGGTAACGTGAATGTGACCATTGCATTGGGTGGTAGAACATTTACAAATATTTAGCAACTTAGTTTACCGGTTCCGTTCCAGGAGCTAACGTTAACTTCAGGTGACCTAGAAGCTAGGAAAGGTTTTATATGGTTGTTAAGTATTGTTATCGTCATGCTGAATGTTATACGATATATGATACGATATTAATATGCGGTCTTTCGGGGTCCCAAATGTGTGTTTGCTTCAACTGTGGCAGGTTCCATCCAATATTTGCAACCTGTTGGTAACCGCGTTTCCCGTTAGCAGAACCGCGGTTCCGCGGCGGGGGCGGGGCTTCTAGGTGACGCGTCACAGGTTGACGCCCCGGGGATTTATTCTGCGCTTCTAGTTCTGAAACCTTTAACGCTAAAGCAGTTTCTAAGTGTGACACATTAAATGTGAGTTTTCAAGTTGTTTTTTGCTTTATTATAAACGGAACACAAACTACCTGACAGTCCGTGCAATTTAAAAACCCACCTCTATCAGAACAGTAAACATTGGCTTCTTCATTACATCCCTATATCTCCCTTAATAACTTCACCTGTGAGAGGTGGAGCTCTATGTAAAGGCCGCAGGTAAACATTTGGTTTGTAATGAATCAACTTCGCTCGTCTCATGTTTTAGGAGTGTTGAGACTTAACAGGAAAGTTAATAGTCTTGACAGTCTTGTCTGTCTACTGTCGCGCCCTAACCGCCAAGACAAATTCCTTGTATGTTTGACATATTTTGGCTAATAAATGTTTCCTGATTCCTGAATAAGTGTTTCCCCTTTATTTGTATTGATGTTGTGCACTAAATATATATCCATACTTGTGTACGTGCATCCACTACCTGCATGACAACTTCATTGCAAATGGCTTTGTTCTGCGCACAGAAATAGCTAAAGTCACGCTTGTTTTCACTTATTCTGTCAATGCATCGCATTGCTTTTTCAAATGATAATTATCATGCACTTTGATAGTTTTGCCAAATTGTTTTTTAACAGGAAAGGTTTTGTAAAATCCAACTGTGGGCCAAAGCCAGCTCACCAATGCTTCCTTTTGTGATAAACAGTGTATGCACATTATGCTATTAGGTCATTAATTAAACTATTGTATATTTAACTACCCGAAAGGTCAAATGGAGTTAATGGTCACATCATAAATTAGCTTGCGACTGTTGAGCAGCTTGTGATTGACGGGAAAGTTGAGCTATATCAAACAAAATAATTATTCAAATTCATTTTATTAGACTTGTAACACTTGTTCATTTAAAGTGCCTATCAACTGTAATTGGGTTCTATCAATTTAGTGGATGAATAAGTGCAGCGTTAGAGCGTCTCCCTCATGCTGATGCTGATTTCTTCTTCTCCAGGTATTGAAAACCTACCATGTGAGCTGCAGAGAAACTTCACTCTGATGCGAGACCTGGACAACAGGACTGAAGGTGAACATTTAACCTCACACAGCTATTAGAATGTAAATGCTATATATCGACATTCTACCTGCACAGGTCAGTGTTGGTATGCAAATAAGGAAGTCCAAAAAGCTGTCTGTCAACGCTGTCTATAAGATTATAGTTATTTTCTGGAAGCGGAGGTTTCCGCAGTAGATCCCACTCTTTGAAATACGTGTGTTTTGTGTTTGTGCAGAAAAGAAAGGAGAGATCGACCAGCTGGCTGAAGAGTACGTTGTGAAAGTGAAGAACTTTGCGTCGGAGCAGAGAGTGGAACATCTGCAGAAGATCCAGAACGCCTACAGCAAGTGCAAAGAGTTCAGCGATGACAAAGTTCAGCTGGCAATGCAGACGTACGAAATGGTCAGTTTGCTGTCGCTGTCATGGATACAGTATTATAGTACATGGATCTGTTTGCTGTATCTTACGAAACCCTTCAAACAATCCAGAGTCCCTCTAACTCTCACTTCATTGTACTTCACGGTTCCTGCGTGAACTCTTCTTCCTGCAGGTGGACAAACACATCCGCAGACTGGACGCGGATCTCGCTCGCTTTGAGAACGAGCTGAAGGAGAAGCTGGAACTGAGCGGCTACGAAAGTACGGAAGGGAGAAGCGTGAAAAGTGAGTTGTGTATCCGAGGGGCTGCAGGCTAAAAATGTCGATGCGCGTTTGGTTAAATGAACGTTTCCCGTCAGAGCCAGAGACCCGCGGCCTGAGAGACAAACGAGCCTCCAGAGGAAGAGCAAAGAAGGCTTCTGATGAAGATTCCCCCAAGAAGAAAAAGATCAAAAACAGGTGGGTTTTCACTGACTGATGCGAACCGAAACCTCTGTATTACCCGTCCTGATTCTCCTAACGTGTCGCGTGGGCTCTCAGCCCCGAGCTGAGCGACGCCCTCCTGCCGATGCAGCCCTCCGACGTGTTGGACATGCCGGTGGATCCCAACGAGCCGACGTACTGCCTCTGCCACCAGGTGTCCTACGGGGAGATGATCGGATGCGATAACCCCGACGTGAGTCCGCTCGCTCGCTCGCTCGCTCGTTACCGACCAGATGACAATGATAATAACCGCCTCGTTTGCTCTCTCAGTGTACGATCGAGTGGTTTCACTTCGCTTGTGTCGATCTCGCCTCAAAACCCAAAGGAAAATGGTAAGAACTTAAGTTGGTTCAAAGCAGCGTGATCATCAATGCAGATTCCTCAGATGTGATGGATGTCGTTCCTCTCAGGTTTTGTCCGCGCTGCACCCAAGACAAGAAGAAGAAATGAGACGTCCTGCCTTCAGAGATCCATCAAGAGTAACTCGCTTATTTTCAACTTTCTCACGTTTTTGTCTCCAAGTGACCGAAACCAAAAAAAAACGTCTTCACTTTAGTGCAGAGATATTAAGTGAGGACTATTTGTTACTCGGACCTTCATCATTTTACCAAGAGACAAACAGGAAAACAAGCATCACGCTGCAGCCAGCCGCCGCTAAACATGCAGACAAGAATCCTCAGCGTCAACGTGTCTGAGGACGTCATGGAAGGAACCAGAGACCCGTCCTCCGCGTGTAGCTCTGTGTTCATATCAAATGTCTTGCACACTTATAACTCCACACGTAGAAGATGTCAACAATGTGGACGACGCCTGAACGTCTCGTGAGATTTCGGAGCGAGACTTTGTTCCACGTAACGAACCAGGAGAGACTTTCATCTCCGTGGGTCATTTCCTTCATGGTGACAGATGTTAATAACGACACTGTCTGCATAACTCTACGTTTGCTCCAGAAGGCTTCTCTACATCGACGCTGGTTTCAAAATGTCTTTTATGTCCACAATAATCTGAGACAAAGACATGAAAATAAGATCCAAGTTAGAAAATACCGGTGTTGCTCTTTGACTAAGTGTGTGTGTGTGTGTGTGTGTGTTCATGTCTCCACGCGCTCAGCGGGTCATTCTGCACCGCGAGGCCGTTACCTTTCCGACCAATCAGAACGTCCGTCCTCCAATCTAGTGTAAATATTCTGATCATTAACAAAGTCACATATCTCGATCGTGGCTCATCGGACTTGAGCTTTTCTAAAGGAATGAACAGCCTGCTGAAACATTTACCATTTTAAAAAATATTAAAATAAATGATCTATACGATTTTCAGTCGACTACCTTTTTGTGATGCGAACGACTGATCGATACCGGTGTAAACATTTTTTAAAAAGGACGTGTTTTGATTAAAACCAAACAAGCAAAGCAGGTTCTGGATGGTCAAAGACTTTGTGACATTGTTGAATGTATTTGGTACTAATGTCCACACAATAAGTTATTTAAGCACCTTGAAAGAAGATATTCCGTCATCGTCATCATATAGTTTCTTTTTTCAATCTTCCCCACACCTCAAACCCACATGGAAAAGCAGTATAAAATACACACATCTATATATGTTTTGTATGATATAAAACTATTTTGTGACCACTTTCCGAAAGAGAGATATATATATAATTATAATTATATATATAATTATATATATATATATAATTATAATTATATATATAATTTTATATATATATATAATTATATATATAATTATATATATATATATATAGAAGATGTGTAGATGGTAGACACTCAAACTTTATTTTATGGGATTCTATGTGAATAACACGTTGGGTGTAAAGCCACCAAATAAACCAGCCAAAGTCTTTGTATTTTGTAAAATTCAGTATTTTATAACAAATAAATATTCACTATTATTCCCGCCTGACTTCATTCATTGTGGTTTTAAAGCGTCTTTGTCTTTTGGGCCTTAATGCTCCTACAGTCTTTTATTTAGGAATCTCTTTCTGTAGTTTCTCCTTTCTACTGATGTTTAACTCACTGAGAGGATTTAACTCTTATTAAATCAGTAGTTAAACCAGCTCAACGTCATTGGACGCTTTAGTCTGCAGATATTTATGTATATATATAAATATAATGGCATTGTTTAGAATATCTAAAGTTCCGTATCGATGTCACCAGCTACCAAAAGCTCACAGCTGTGACTGAACATGGAGGGAGATCCTGGTTTCCTCTTCCTAATAAACTGGCAGCTGATCCTAGAGGGTCAGTGTGGTGAACTCCAGCCGTGCCAGATGTTCCCGTCACCTCATGGAACATCTGCACTCTAGGAGTTTTTTTTTGTTGTTTTTTTAAAACCCGTCGTCGGACTCTTCGTCCCAGCTGCACTTCTCCTGGCCGCTCTTCCCGAATTCCTTCTCCACGTCGTAGACAAAGTCGGGATCGCTCTCGCGCCGCCGGTTCCTCTGGAACAGCTCGTCCATCTGGCCCTTCTTGCGGGCCAGTCGGTCGTCGTCCAGCTTGTTCAGGTCTTCTTCTGGGTCCAGGTGGAAGGAGGCCAGGCTGTGCTCCAGGCTGAGGCCCTCCATGTGATCCCGCAGGATGACGTGGAGCTTCTCCAGCTGGCCCTGGCTCACGCCGCGCAGGTAGTCCCGGTGCCGAGGGTGGTTCTTCAGCTTCTCCGCAGCCATGCGGTAGTCTGGAGATGAAGGGTCCACAGGGTCAGATTAACCAGCCGGGGGCCCCGATTTACCTCCTTGTTCCCGCTGCCTTGAGAGAATCTTATGGTTTCATCCCCAGAACCTTTCACTGTGGTATTGCTGCCCAGATTGATGACATTAAATATATATATTTAAATTAAATGTCAGGATGATATAAAATGGTTATTTCATACACTCCATCAAACTGAAGGGACCCTCCTCAAAGACACGATCCTTTCTATTCACATGGTGTTATAGTTTTGCTGTTACAAATTAAAATGTTAATGCTTAATAAAGTTTCCACAAACCAAATGCCAAGTAGTGAACACGATATTATGATTATAATGAACAATCACATCATTCATTATCTAATGTTATTTACAGTTATTCTTATTTTATGAAGACTGGGCCCGGGAGACCTGTGGTTCAAAAATAAAACAATGTTTGTGTGTGTGCACCTAATTGGATAGCTACCTTAATAATGTTATATATAACGTTATATAACTCAATATCTCTTTCCATACCAGAGTATTTGGAGAAGCTTCTGACGGGCATGACTCTTTTCCTCACACGTTTAGTGTCCTTGTGTTCGTAGATGAGGATGATCGATGGAGGATTGAACTGAACACCGCATCGCTTCGCCTCGAAGCTCATCTTCCACCTTTAAACGAGAAGCATTTCATCCGCTTTGATCACTGGATGTTGAGAACTTCTGCGCTGAAGCGTTGCCGGGCCGCCCGGCGTGTCCTGGCTGAAGCCTGTTTAAAACTCGTTCATATTTGGAAGTAATATTATTTCACTCGCAGTGCTCAGAGTTATATTTTTCTCTTTGACTAAACACGGACGTTCTATACGTAAGTATTGCGTCAGAGCATCTCACAGTGAACGCGGATTCACATTTCTATTCAGGCGCAATCTCAGTGTCCTCGTGTGTGCGACGGGGTCCTTCACCGTTCATTTCCGGTAACAGTTTGAAACACAACCGAGGAGCTAAATAACAAACAAATAAGCGTTAGAACGCTAGTTGTTGTTTATCAGAACTTTTCTGATGCATTTTGTACTTTACACTGTTTTCGGTTGTTTGTCGACATGTTATTGTTTTATCGCGACAGGTACGTTAACCACGCATACGCTTCAAACCCCTCAATAAAACACTCATAAGGTGTCAGCAAAACGTTTACCCTATTTTCGGTAAAGTTCAAGTAACAAATGACAACAAAACCTTTTCCCTCTATCTGGACTTTCCGGTAATGTCTATATTTATCAATTAGAATACATTTTCGTTTATAAAGCCTATTACTCAATAAACCGTTTGTGGTATGTTTTCTAAATAATCCGAATTAAGAATAAAACATAACATAACACTGTTTATGCGGTTAAATATTTATCATGGTTTGGTTAGGTTCGGTTAATTTAATACTATTGTTTGTATATTTATCAGAGATATATTACTATTCTGCTCTTTTTTCAGCCGTGCACAGCGAGGAGAACCGCTGTGACCTCCTGAAGCAGCAGCTTCAATCCTCTCGGGTGTCAGTGCAGATCACCAAGACGGGTTTTCACAGGTACGTCCTGCAGCATCGACCCGTGGCCCCCGGAGGCCCCCGCAGGCCCCTCGTCGGTGACGCTCATGTGTTTCAGGGAGCTGCTGACCACGGTGGAGCTCCGCCCAGATGTTCCCAGCGGGCTCGGCGTGCTGCTGATTCACAGGTGGCCCCGAGGAGTCTACGTGGATCCGTTCCAACTGGCGACGCTGAGTCAGCAAAGCCATTGGCAGGTAAATCCCGACAGCGGTCACGCACACGCCGCAGCACACGTCGTTCATCAGTGCACGTGTCCCCCCTCTGTTAGATGTCACTGGACTCGGCCGTTGACCTGGAGGCGGCCGCCCACCAGGCTGAGGGGTTTGTCACCCGTGTGTATCCCGCCGTGGACGGACCCACAATCAGAGTGACGATTCCCTTTCACTTCCGCTACCACCAGCCACGTTACGACGGAGAGACGTTTACAACTGTGGAGATAGAACCTCCACAGCTGCTGCTGCGGACTGAAGGATGTAAGCGGTTCATTTGAATTCTTCTCACAAACGTACAGGACCAGACAATGGACAGTGTGTCTAAAACAGCTTGACCACTAAAGTGAGTTTTAATTTACACATTAAGTTAAACAATTAATCGTTTGGTCCATACAACAGTATAGAATGTCCATCCAAGTGTCTCTAAGTCCAAGGAAACATGTTTAAATGTCTTTGTCCAAATTCCAAAGATATTCAGTTGAATATGATACAAATCAGAGAAAAGCAGATGTCCATATTTGACAGGCTGATTGAATGAAAAGTTGCTGTTATTCTCCTTGTAGGTTTGCAGCTCAGCGGCTCGGAGCCTCACGCTACCGTGGACGCCCCGTGCACTCACAGCAACGCCAGCACGTGTCCGTGGGTCCGACTGCAGCAGCAGGTGATTCTACAGAGCAAGTTAAACGAGGGGTGGTTGGTGCTGTTAGATCTGCCTAAAGCTCTCGATACAATCAATCATCATGTTTTGATATCAAAACTCTAAAGCACTAGTGTGGATGTCTTAACATTTATCAAACAGATTGTTAACCAATCAAATCGGAGTCTTAAGGCTGGCGTTTGCGTCTTTACGCGCAGTCGTGTCGACGCACTCGTTTCACGGTTCTAAAAGGTTTGCGTGTGTCGCAAAGCAATTCGCCGCCAGAACAACAGGTGGGCTAAGGGAGATATGGAATTTTTTAAAAAAAGAATTTAAACGAAAAGAAAATGTTAAAAAGAAATAATATCCAGAATATCATCCACAGCAGCTGGTGAATAATGTTTTTCTGTGAAAGCCACAAATGAGTGGAGCACCGTGTCTGACTCCACCAGCACTTTTAAAAATAGTTAATAAAATGAGCTACAAGCTGCTCAGCACTGTGTAACCATTGTGCAGATCAATATGTTTTTGGTTACTCTGTAGCTTTACATTGTGTGTTCTTATGTGTGCGTAATGTCTTTCTTCCTGTACCGTTTGTTATAACCCGTCGGGGCTACGGATGCAAACTAGCTGGTTTTAAAGTCTGCTACGCTGCATCAAATGGTGACGTTCACGTCTGAGCTGAACACGGTCCCTTTTAAATGTAATACTGTTAAATTAAAATGTAATTGAATTACACAAAACAACAAATGCCCCATTGCTGCATCACTCATGACTGCTCTCCTTCCGTAGGAGCGAGGCCCCGTCGGTGTCGGGCTTCCCGTGGGTGACGGCTCTTTGGTGGCGCCGGTGTCCGCTGGAACTCTTCTGGTCACGACGCTCTGCTGCGTTTCTCTGTCCACACGCATGTGGAAACATCGCATCGTTTAAACTATATAACTATCCATTACTAAAAGGAGAGAATTTAAACAATTCGCTATTACTAAAGTTGTTTACAAGTTATGTAGTTGATGCTGATCTAGGATCGTAATTCGTTTTATAGCTAACTACAGCGTACACAGAATTTGTATAAGATTGAACAATGAATTAAAAAAAATATGTACAACATGTTCAAGTTAAGACGTAAAGAAGGAAATTACAATGATAATATAAAAGAAAAACTATAAAATCATCTATATATCTGAATTAATGACAAAGCTGTACTTAAATTACAATGAAAATATTGAATCTTTATAGATATCCTAATATATATAAAAATCGAATACAGTAAGTGCAATATATGTGAAATATGAGACCTTAAGGTGCATCTTTGGACGCAGATCTATCCAAATGTTCAATGACTCTCAGCTGAGAGCATCCGGGGTATTAACAAGTAGATCTGAGACAGCCGCTGATCTTCAAACGACCTTTATTTTGAAACGCTCGTTGACGCTCCGAAGGGCTGGGTCGCTACTTCCGCTTCCTTTCGGCCATAACGGAATTATCCAAGGGCCGAAAAAGAAAGAAAAGTTGCTTTGTAAATAGTTGCAGCCATATTTTTACTGACTTTTTTTGTACCCGTCTCACGCCGCCAAGTACCCCGCGTCACAGAGGGATTTTTTAAACGGATTTAACAAGCGTTTTCCGAGCCGTCGCGGATCGCTTCGGGAGTAAAGTTGTCTTGAAGTTGAGCTGGTGCGGACTCTCCGGTGAGCTCTGCTCCTCGTTAGCCGGCTAATAAAGCACTTCTGGTCCGGACAGTTTGGACCGAACTACCGATAAGTTCGTCCGAACCACCTGTGGGAAAAGTCGAAGTTGTCGTGGGGAAATAACCCAGAAATAACCCAACTTTTGTTGTCAGACTAGTTAGCATTAGCTAACAGCTAAAGCGAACAGGACCAACGTTGGTGTAGCATGTCATGCTAACGTTAGCTTCCAGCCAGTTAGCACACTTGTTGAAGTTAATGCTAACGTTAGCAACGTAGCTGTTAACTAATTCATATGGCTGTTTCTTAAAACAAACCCCATTAAATAAGACGATACAACGCTAAACGATGTTGCGTCGTTTTAATCGTAAATCAGGTTATAACTCAACTTAACGTTACATGCATGTAGTGGAAGAAGAGAACAGTTATTCTTTTATCCTCGTTTGAGCTCTTTAGCCACTAATAAAGAAACTAAAGTATCGTGCAAATATTTCCCCTACATTCCTCAGACTGATTCTCGCTGTTTTAGTCAAAATATAGTTGGTCTCACTCATACAGTCTCCCCTTTTCTCCTCGTTGTTTCTTCACTATTCTTCAACTCAGATGTCTGTTTTCCACCTTGACAAGTTGTATGTTCAAATTCGGGACTCAACGTGTTCTTGTTTTAAAAGACGTGTTTTTTAAACCGATTTATTTATGCTTTGTGTATCCACGTGTATCTGGAATCAAGCTGCATTAAATATATTTCAAGTACTACTATGCTCAATATTTCATTTGTGTGATCACTGGATTATACTTTCATATACATCAATGTATAATAAGACAATATGATGAAAGTAGCAGAGTTACTTGTAACCACTATATATGGCATGGTAGCTTAAATTCTTAATTATAAAAAGTTAATAACATTTTATTTGTTGAATTATATTTTATGTTTAGTAGTTGTTTCTACAAAGTAAAGCAATATTGTCAAACCTGTGGGCTGAAAAGCAGAATAATTCTTCACTGAAATGTTGCCATATAAATGACAAAATAGCTTAAGGGGGATGATTTAAAATACCCCCCAATAAAACCTTGTTGCTTCCCCACATTCTGCTGTTGGTGACGTCTTTATTGCATCTTTATGGTCTGTTTTTCTTCCAGGTTCCTTACTCTCTTCGGCCGTCGCTCTGGGATCGTCGTCCCGCGAGCACGATCCAAGCCTCATGCTGTCGTGAGCTCAAACCTATAAGTGATGTGTGACAACGGAGACCCCGAGGACAAACCCCCCGCCCCCCCGGTGAGGATGAGCAGCACCATCTTCAGCACGAGCGGCAAAGACTCCCTCTCGGCCAACCACAGCTCCAAGCCGCTGCCCTCCGTGCCCGAGGAGAGGAAGCCCCGCAAGAAGATCATCTCCATCTTCTCCGGGGCGGAAAAAGGTGAGATTTGGTACGAAGATACTTCTCCTTACATGCGTTCCTGTGCTTGGGACTGGTCCAAATGGTGTTTGGATTTATTTTGCTCTCTTCAGGGGGGAGAAAGAAAGATCGAGACAAAGAGCGACCAGAGATCTCACCGCCTTCAGACTTTGAGCACACCATACATGTTGGCTTCGATGCCGTCACGGGGGAGTTCACTGTGAGTTAGTGCTCACACCCCCCCCCCCCCCCCCCCCCCCACACCTGGGAGGTACAAGGGGGTTTGTTTCCGTGGGCAAGTGTACACCCACAAGGTGTTTTGCATCCTTCCCAAACCCCCTCGGGGGCCCGAAGGAAGACCCAGCTCCAAGCGCGGCCACTCGCCAACGCAAACATGCCCAAATTCGAGCCGAAGAAAAAGCCGCAGGCCGTCCTCGACGTGCTGAAGTTCTACGACTCCACCGGCAACGGCCGCCAGAAGTACCTCAGCTTCTCTTCTTCTGGTGAGTCAGACATCGAGTTGTTGTTGCTATTCTGCCCCCTGCAGGGAAATGCGCATTAACCTCAACAAGTTAAAGAAGATACTTTATTTGTAGGTGAAAGTTAATTATCAGCTTTGTCTTCAAGTAGTCAGTAGTTTAATCTTATCTCCATATGAAACAACCTGTAAACGCTGTAATAAACAATCAAAGGTCTTCACGTCCGTTCAGCTGTTTTTAGTAGCAGATGAACAAATACAAATTTCAACCAGAAAGTATATTCAGACAATATCTATTACATTTTATTTTATTTATGTTATTAAACAATAACTAAGCTGTAACTGTTGTCTAATCTTTAAGAAAAAATGCTAAATGATGTAAAATCCAAGTGGATTTGATTTGTATCCACTGATACAGACCAATATGTTTAACCATCAAAAACGTTCCTCGTGTTTAACCTTTGACATCCGTAATAACCGGAGACTCTTTAAACTCTTGTTTTTGTTTGCTCTCAGAAAAAGACGCCTTCTCTCCAGGACCTCAGTCTGTAAGTTCTTCCTCCTTCCTCCTCCCTCATGTTGTGTTGTCAAGACTTGACCCCCTTCCTCCTTCCGCTCTCCATCAGCCCGTCAAAAAGGGCAGCGAGCTGTCTTCTCCGAACATCAAAGACATCGACGATGACGACGACGATGAAGAAGCTCCGCCTCCAATCGTGGCGCCGAGGCCGGAGCACACGAAGAGCGTGAGTTACTTCCTCCTAAACACCCCCCCCCCCCCTCAGTTTTCACATCCTGTGAGCTACAAGTGTGTTTGTTTCGTTGTGCAGGTGTACACTCGCTCCGTCATCGAGCCCCTCCCCGCGCCGAGCGCGTGTCCGGACGGAGACTCCGCCTCCAAGGCCGCCGACCGGCAGAAGAAGAAGGGCAAGATGACGGACGAGGAGATCATGGACAGACTGAGTAAGTGAACTGACTATAAATGTGACAGGATCGGATTTATTTGTTGCCGCATTGTTTCCCTTATGAAACATGTTTATTTCCTGCAGGAACGATCGTCAGCATCGGAGACCCCAAGAAGAAGTACACCAGATACGAAAAGATCGGTCAGGGGTAAGTGCAACATTAATAAGACCAACAGGGCCACTGGAAAACAACTTTCACCGTTATAACGTACAACACACTGATACTTGGAGAGACAGAAGGGGGTGGAGCCAAATATGACCTTCCGAACTGATGCACCTGGCTGAACCTCCCTCCCCCCAGAGACTCATCGATGATGTCATTCAGTCGGTAGCAAACAAACCCGCGGACATTTGTTTTGCTCTCGAATGTCTCATTTTGTCTCGCTTCGTCTCGCAGGGCGTCGGGAACCGTCTTCACGGCCATCGACGTGGCCACGGGACAAGAGGTGAGGGGGCGCGTTGGAACACTCACGGCGGGGGCTCTGTAGCGTCGGCTGGCCCTATGAGGGGTGATGATTAGGAGGCGGCGGTGAACCGAGACGTGAGCGAGTCGTTATTTAGACAGTGATGATTATTGTAAGTAAACTTGAAGCGTTTCCACCGTTATAACAAGTTGAAGTAGTAAACCTGCAGGACACACTGAAACTAACGTGAGTCACGAGCTTCCCGTCGCTGCAGACCAATGGCTGCTGAGGCGAACAAACGCCTGAGTTCCTCTTTAATAGGTTTTCATTACTTATGAATCAGCTTTTCATTTGTCCCTCATAAAACGTTCATTGATTTGCTTTAAATGCCTCAGTTTAAGAGCGTAAACAGTTAAATATCTCTGGATCCTAAACGTATTCGATGGTAGTGGAGACGGAGGTAAAGCTTGAATCATTGGACACGATGACTTCCCTCCTTCTTCTCCAGGTGGCCATTAAACAGATCAACCTGCAGAAGCAGCCCAAGAAGGAGCTGATCATCAACGAGATTCTGGTGATGAAGGAGCTGAAGAACCCGAACATCGTCAACTTCTTGGACAGGTAGGATGGAGGCCAGAGGAAGTCCTCCCAATACACACCAGTGTGTGACGCGCGTGTGTGTGTGTGTGTGTGTGTGTGTGTGTGTGTCAGTTTCCTGATGGGGGAGGAGCTGTTCGTGGTCATGGAGTATCTGGCTGGAGGGTCGCTGACTGACGTGGTGACAGAGACCTGCATGGACGAGGCTCAGATAGCAGCTGTCTGCAGAGAGGTACGCTGCTCCACCTTCAACCGGGTCGCATAGATCAAGGTCTCCAGCTCTCAGTAACCCCCCCGTCTCCACACCTGCAGTGTTTACAAGCTCTGGAGTTCCTGCACGCCAACCAGGTCATCCACAGAGACATCAAAAGTGACAACGTCTTGCTGGGGATGGACGGCTCCGTCAAGCTGAGTAAGTCCCCAACCGTTAAAGGAACATCGTCTTCACCATGTCCTTCATCACGCTCCTCGAGGCGCCGACGCTAAGCTCTCGTCTCCATAGCGACGCACCCGTTTATTTCCGCTCTTCCACAGCCGACTTCGGCTTCTGCGCTCAGATCACCCCGGAGCAGAGCAAGCGCAGCACCATGGTGGGGACGCCGTACTGGATGGCCCCCGAGGTGGTGACCCGGAAGGCCTACGGGCCCAAGGTGGACATCTGGTCCCTGGGCATCATGGCCATCGAGATGGTGGAGGGAGAACCTCCGTACCTGAACGAGAACCCGCTGAGGGTGAGTCGGCGCTTTCTGAATCCTTTTGGGTCGATTCGCGCTCTCTGTTTGTGACACAACGAGATGATTTCAAACACTTTGACTAAGAGGTGCATTTAATCCGAGCACCTGGAATAAGTCTGTGAAAAATCATGAGTCAAAATAGTCTATAAATGTATCCACTGAAATCCATTAAATGGACCATTTCACGACTGATTTTGTACTAAAAGTGGGAGAGAGGAAGGTAATATTAATATGTAGTGTTTAACAGCAGTTTATATAAATAGGTCAAATTATTCTTCTACAGAAATAATGTTTCTTTTTTTAAATGTGACGCTGCATAAAAACATTTAAATGCATCTAAATTTATTTCTGAATGATGAATAAAACGCGTCCGTAGTGTTTAATAGACAGAAAGTAGAAACACACTGATATCTACAGTAAGATTATGAAAGTACAACATTGGTTTTTAATTATCAATGAATTTAATAAAAAGCGTAAGTGAGTACGATAAATATTATTTTACGGGATGATTTTTTTTTTCTTTTTTCCTGTTTCACGAGGTTAATTGGAGTTGAATCCCTGAAAGTAGATTTCTCAGCTGTCAGCTCCTCTCTGCAGGCTTTGTACCTGATCGCCACCAACGGCACCCCAGAGCTCCAGAACCCGGAGAAGCTGTCTCCGGTCTTCAGAGACTTCCTCACGCGCTGCCTGGAGATGGATGTGGAGAAGAGAGGCGGCGGCAAAGAGCTGCTGCAGGTGAACAAAACAAACAGACCCTCCTGTTGTCAGATTGTCTTCATTAAGCTTCTTCTGTTTCCATCTAACGTCAAAGTGCGGCTCATTAAACGCCCCCTTTCCGCTGTGTAGCATCCGTTCCTGAAGCTGGCGAAGCCGCTCTCCAGCCTCACGCCTCTCATCCTGGCGGCCAAGGAGGCCATGAAGGGCAACCGTTAGCGGAGGGGGCTGACCCCCCCCCCCCCCGATCACACGGCCCTCCCAGCCTCGTTGCTGTGCGCCGGAAATGTGGCGACCATTTCAGATTCCTCTTGCGCGAAGAAAAAGGCCGCGAGTGACTCGACGCGGCGGCCTGAAAAGAAACGCCCTGACGAACCTCACTGTGAAGAAGACCGCAGACACACACAGACACACACACACAAACAGACACACACACACACACCGCTGTCCACTCAGACGTCAGATGACAAGTCAGACTAAAGTTTTTAGTTTCTAGTTATCTTGGATTGTTAGAGCGCCGCTCGTATTTAACTCGGAATGAAGAAGACTTCTAGTTCTATTTTTAGTTGTTTTTTTAATCAACTGCCTTAAACAAATGTTGTCTAATGTATTGGTTGATTGTGTCGATGTTTCTCTCCCCATGATTTTTACTACCTTTTGTAATTTACCTTTCCAGCTCGTGGGGCGTCTTAGTTGTTTTGATACTTGAATCTCACATTCGTCTCCGATGAACTCTTTGCTATTTCCACATCGTGTTTTTTTCTCCGGGTTTTTTTTTATAGGAAATGTTTCAGTTAGTTTGTCATCATGAAGGTGTGTCGCTCTCCGACCTACTGTACCTGCCCCCCCATCGTTAGTCTCCTGATACCAGAGGTGCACCTTAAAGGCCAATTGTAATTGATAGATTGACAGGGTTTATACTTTCTTCTCTATTATCAAAAAGTATTTGTATGTTGAACTCTGTCCGTTTGTGTTCTTCTAGATTTCTATATTGTGTACTTAATGTTTAGTTTTATTTTCTTTTTAAAGTGACCATATCGTAGCAGTTCGCTGTTGAAAGGATGATGAAGACAATTTGTTTCTTCTTTTTCTTCTGGACTAACAAACTTGTCTTCACACTCAAATAAACTGTTTGTGCCTTTGTGGTATTCTAATTGTTGTGCGCTATATATCACAGTGACACTAGAGCAGTGGAAGTGACTAAAGGGGACATATTAGGAAAATTCCACTTTGTATATGTCTTCTTCACGTTAATTTAATATCTACATATAAATGTTATATAACACCACATTGATGTTTTTATACACATAAGACAACAAACTGCTCCTAAATGTAACTCCCTCATGACCCTCAGTCATGTTTTGACTGTTTACAAAAACATTTTCAACATATTTTATATTTTTCAACCCTCTTTATTCATAACATGTTTTTTTAATCTATTTTTTGTAATGACTTATTGTTATTACTCCTAACATTTAGACTTTTCTGTACATTTTTTACTTAATATATTTTTTGACTTTTTTTGAATATTTTTAATTATATTTTCACCATATTACCAGCTATTAACCCACTGCTTCCCCCTGTAAATTTGGCAGAAAAAAGGATATGTGGCAAAAACAAGTTTCTGCTTTTCATATTACATATCGTATTCTCTGTAATTGATTTTTTAAATAGATTTTGCCATTTTGTATTTAAGATTTTCTTATCCAACAGCTTCCACGTGAAGACAGTTTTTTTTCCTATGAATTTAGCAGAAAACAAGATAAACACAAGTTACTCCCTTCCTAATTACATATAATCTTTGGAATCATCATTCATTTTTTGACACATTGTATTTAAAACGTTTTTCCACCATGTTTTGACTTTCTTTTAAAAAAATGATTTTTTTACATAAAATCTTTTATGTAACTTTTTTCCCATGACCCAAGATAACCTTTATATTTTCATATAAAAAATATTTATTATATGTTGACTATCTTTTTCAAAACTTCAACCTAATATTTTTTGGACATATTTTTATCTAACATAGTTTGACTTTTCCAAAACATTTTGCGACCATTACACTTTTTTTAAGCACTTATTTGCAGCATAACGTATTTTGACTTATTTTTCAAAACATTTTTCGAACAAATATTTTTTTAACCTTTTTTTCTCATCACATTTTTCGATCAAACATATTTTGACTCTTTTCCCGAAACGTTCAAACATATTTCTTTAGCTTATTTGTGTAGCTTTTATTGTGGAGGTATTGCCCGGAAGTGTTTGCCGTCCGGCTGTTGCAGCTAACGCTAGCTGAAGGCGAAGCCTTCACGTAGTTCAGTGAACAATGTCCGCTCAGATGAAAGACAAAGACGCTTATCAAAGGCTGAACTTTCTCTACCAGGTACGAATGAAACATTTGTGATAAACTCTATCATTGTCGTGACGCCATGTTGCTAGCATGCTAGCTGCTCAGCTAAGCAGACGCGTGATGACGTTTCAAATGTCTCCAGGCGGCCCACTGCGTTCTGTCCCAGAACCCGGAGAACGTGGAGCTGGCTCGGTTCTACTGCTCCACGCAGAAGACCATTGCGAGACGTTTAGTGCTCAGGCAGTAAGTCCGCCGAGAGCCGGTTGTCTTTTGTTTTGAAGGGAGAGTTCATTTTGCTTCCGTGCAAAACATGTTTTTAATTTTATTTTAGAGTTCAGTTTTATTTTGTGTTTTTGGGCTTCAGCAAAAAATCTGACTCATTTTTGTACACCTTCAACATACTTTAACTTTTTTTTAATTCATTTTTTTGAAATATTTAAAAAACATTTTCTTTTGAGCACCTCTTATCCCTCTGCTTCCCCATGAGGACAACTTTTTATTTTTCATGTACATTTAGCAGAAAACAAGATGTGTAAAAAAAGTCTCTGCCTTTTTTATTACTTCATATAATCCTTCTTCTGCAGAGATCCTTCGGTGAAGAGGACGCTGTGCAGGAAGTGCTGCTCGCTGCTGGTTCCTGGTGTCACTGCTTCCTGCAGACAACGCAGTGAGGCCCTGACCTTCATAGCACAACAATATTTCAAAATACGTAACGTTTGGAAAACAAGTGACAATTATTTTGTTTAAATAAAATGTATTTGGCACTCTGAGATCTGTTGATGAAAAGTGTGTTATAAATAAAATGCATTTATTATTATTATTATCATTCTGTGCTCAATAAATATTTATTGAGAGGATTTATTTGAATAGCAATAAATGTTTTCTAATATCCAACATTGCAAATCCACTTGCAAATTAAAAGGAGATTAATAGAACGTTTCTCTTCCTAATATAATCTGTGCTCCAAACCTTCAGCACACATAATACACCGTAGACCTTTGACCCGTCGGTTTCATCTGTATTTATTTTCTTGTAGGTTTAAATAAACATTAAAATGTTCTTTTTGTTTGCAGGGAGGAGCAGAAACGCCCGATTCACCGTGGTCCGCTGCCTCAGCTGTGAGCACAGCAAGACGCTGCTGAACCATCCGGACCATCAGCTGTGGACGGAGCGACCCGAGGCCCAGCAGGAGCGGCCCAAGCAGCCGGGTGAGGAACCCGCCTCTCCCTAAATACGTAGCAGGTCGTCTTCACGGGACGGCTGCCGTGTTTCTACAGAATGAACAACACCAAAACCTGCTGCGACTCCTCTTCTCCCCTTGCTGAGCTCCGCTGCTTCACCTCGCGGGGGAAGTTTTAGAGGGTCGCGCTGTGAAAACTCACTGCTAGACGGCGCCAGATCGTGCACACGCACACAGATGCAACCGTTCACGTTAAGCAACACGCTATGTAAACTAAATAAACGTCTGCAGGTAAATGAAACCCCCAAAACGATCTAGTGCACTTGTGCCGACGGCTCCGTACAGCTTCTACTCGTTTATGAGAAAGAAGAACGGTTGTAAAGGTGAATTAACAGGCTGAGATTTGCCCGCAGACTTTTATTAGACTTCAAAGCGGCGGATAAATCTCCTGGTGGCACTGATCGTGCTTCATTCTTTTCTTTCAGATCCGGGCTCTTCTGTTAAAAAAACACCAAGAGAGAAGAAGTGTGACGCCTCGGCGTCGCGTAAGGCCACACCGGATCAGAGCGCCGGCGCCACGTAGCAGCCGCTCCTTTGTTTTACAGAAATGTTGCTTATGGCCACAATCTTTGAGTTTACTCATTAGTACGTTTGTCCCTTTCAGTAGTTTTCTGCCATTCGCATCGAGTTGTCCGGCATCAGTAATAACTTTAGAAGTGGCTAAAATGCTGAATGTGGTTTTGTTATCGTATAATTAATAAGCTCCTTGCGTCTCCACGGCGACAATCACATCATGTCACTCGCTACCTGATGCATCCCGCTCCTCGACCTACCTGAGCTAGTTAACTCCGCGATGCCTTCAGGGCCCATTCCGTACAAAGGCGTGCTGGGTGAATTCCAGCGCTGGTTCAGGTTGAGGTGAATCCGATCTTCTCCAGTGTTCTTCAGTGGGGTTCATGGCCTCCATGTGGTGCGCGACACATTTAAAGGTGGATGTGTGTTTTTTCATTTTCATTTATTCTTTGAAAGCAGAACTGAGGGTGATTATTTTATTGAATTTGACAAGAATATTTTTTAACATTTTTGACACCGTAAAAATCTCTTTCGCTGCTACTTTTCCTTAAAGATTAAATACATTTTAAAAAAAAGGTGTTGTTTCTTTCACTTTTTCTTCTTCTCGCCTTTGTCGCTCCTCGGCACTCTGAAACGCGTCTTCTGACCATACAGAAGGTTCTTGGCAGAGATCCTCGGGATGTGGCCCGCGTGCAGCAGCAGGGCCAGGAACATGCCTGCAGGGGAGCACGCTCGCCGTGAGCCGGTGGCGTCTCTGCACAATGATATTTAGCCGCGATGGGACTCACCTGTGAGGGAGCCCAGCCAGTAGACCAGCGCGTACTCGGAGAAGCTGAACCCGGAGCAGTGGAAGGTGAGGCCGTAAGACAGCGAGGGGTTCGCGTAAGCAGAGGTGTAGCCTTTGGCTGCAGGGAAGAGACGTACGCTTCATGTGAGCCTTCGTTAAACGTGGAAGATGCTTTTAGACAACGCGCGAGACCTTTCCAGGTCCTGATTACGAGGCCAGCGGTCTTACCTATGTGGGACAGGAAGGTGAGGAGGACGGCGGTCAGAGGCACGCGGATCAGAGCGGACCGGCGTCCCAGGTTCAGGTGGACCAGGTGCAGGACCAGCGAGCAGACGCACTCGGTGATGAAGCCCTGGACCAGGGAGACCAGCAGGGACGTGCTGCACTCCGCCGCCATCAGGTTCTTGATCATGTGCATGTCCGTCAGCTCCAGGCTCCAGTAGTACGCGGCCACGCGGAGCGCCAGGTGGGCCCCGAGGAACTGGGCCCCCACGGCCAGCAGCGTGGCCGGGAAGCTGGCCTCCAGCTGCAGGAACCTCAGCGCCGCCACGCTGGGGTTCCCCGAGGCGGCGCCGCAGACCACGCCGTGCGTCAGCAGCACCAGGAACAGCACGGTCAGCGTCACGTCGGGGCCCAGGCCCCCGGCCCACTCGCCCACCTCCACGATGGTTTGCACCTCCAGGCGGCACGCCACCAGCGCGAAGGAGGACGCCAGCTCCACGACGAAGCCCAGGCGCTGCCATCTGCCGAGGAGCGCCCGGACCAGGGCCGCCGAGACCACCGCGGACAGGAAGTACCCCAGGGACGCGTTGAGGCCGGACATGGCTCAGAGAGAAGTGAACGAGGGGCTCAGCCCGGCGACTGGGGGCCGTCCCTTTGACAACGTGGCACATGCAGGGACACGTCCCTTATCAGAGACACGTCAGCTGCCACCTGCCAAAACACACACGGGGTCAGGTCGAGAAGCCGGCCTTCGGTCGGCGGCGCTCGTGTGTGATTAGCTCACACGTCACCGTGGCTGAAGTGGTGTTCACACGTAGAAGAACACATCCACAGGCCGGGTTCCCACAGCCCAACGTCTGCTACCCAAAGGACCTTAATGACCACATCTGGGAAGGTCACTGATCTGAGATGTTTGAGTTCATGTGTGGAAACGAAACGCAGCCAAGGAGGAACTGGACCGGGTCCACAGGTGACTCATCAGCTGAACGTCATCCTGGAAAAACAGACGAGCCAGAGAACCGGAAACGGACTCCGAGCGGAAAGGAGGAGTCGCTGACCTTCACTGACCAGAACACCGTTACCATAGAAACACGGTGGAAAGATGGCCTTCATGATGGAAGTTTAATCACATACAGTTGTTAAGGTGGCCTAATTATTTATATATATATATATATATATATATATATATATATATAATCTCTCACAATACCAGTCAAAGCTTCCACTGGCTCTGTCACACTGGTGAGTGCTTGAGGCTTTAACATTTTAAAACCCTTTATGTTACAATGTGACATTAACGGATAATCAGGGAAAGCATTGCCACGGGAAAAAATGGGTGAACAAAGAGGAGGGACACGCGAGTTCAGACATGAAATTGAAACATTTAAAACACTGACGATTAAAGACGGATAAAAAACACATGAAATGAGACGAAATTTACTTATTTAATGGAGGCAATTTTGGCAGAAAACTAAAAAAAATGACATTCCCTCATTGTGCATGCAAAGTGTTCAGAGAGTAAGAAGTATGAAATAAATGCTACGAATCGTAAATAATAATTTTAACATGTATCAGCCTCTCGGACCGTTTTTTATTTAAATTCCTTCTTATCCTTTATTTTTAAATAGTTTATTCCATATCCCCATAGCCTTAAATTGTATTTTATACCGTAGTCAAATTGTACATTTGTAAATGGAACATGGCGTTTTCTTGTACTGTGTTGTCTTTTCATGTTGTCCATTGTCTCACTGTCTGATGTTACGCACCAACCGACAAGTCAAATTTCTGACATGTTGGTAATAAATGTTCCGGATTCCTGATTCCAAACTGTCTCTGATGTTAATCATTCATAATAACATTATTTTAACATTTTTAAACTTACTTATACAACATTTTTACATATTTCAAAAATCCAAAAAGTTAAACTGAGACGAAAGTTGTGGGACGTCGACGTCCACGTGAGGGAGTTGGATCGCGCACGCGCACTTATTGAACGCTCTGATCGTCAGATCTGAACCCAAACGTATCTTTTAAGTTACCGACGTTCTTCTTCACTTGTTTAAAACAAACTGCGAGGGGGCGGGGACTGAGTCCGCTCGAGGGGGCGGGGACTGAGTCCGCTCGAGGGGGCGGGGACTGAGTCCGCGCATGCGCGAGCCGGCGCAGCGACGATGGCAGAGGAGCAGCGGACGCTCGCAGAGGAGTGAGGAGTCGCCGGAGATGTCGGACAAACCGCTCACGCTGTTCGTGAAGCTGTTTGCCGCCGCGTTCTACGGCGTGAGCTCGTTCCTCATCGTCGTGGTGAACAAAAGCGTCCTGACCAACTACAGGTGACGCGTTTCTCCTCCCGCTGTGACGTAGAGCAGGTAGCGCGAGCTGAACCCGCTGCTGGGCAGCGATGGACGCCGGCGACTAGCTGCTTGTTTACGGCTCGCGAGGTCCTACAGGCTGGAACGCGCGCGCGTGACGTACGCCGGCATGTTAGCGAGCTAATAGTTTAAAAGTGTGTGTGTGTGTGTGTGTGTGTGTGTGTGTGTGTGTTAGCTGCACCGTTAGCTGCTGCGTTCACGTGCACTGGGACTAACTGCGACTCTGCTTTTCCAGGTTCCCTTCTTCAATATGTGTCGGAATCGGACAGGTAAGAAGCAACTAACTTGTGTATTTGTTGTTCTCAAACAAACACGCCTCACCGGAGGCAGGCATGGATGAAGTAGTGTGTGTGTGTCTGTGTCTGTGTCTGTGTCTGTGTGTGTGTGTGTGTGTGTGTATGTGCGTGCAGATGCTGGCCACAGTGGTCGTGCTGTGGGTGGGCAAGGCGTCGAGGGTGATCACCTTCCCGGACTGTGATGAGAGCATACCTCGCAAGGTGAGAGGCTCCACCGCTCTGGGCCACGGCGCTCACCTGGGCCACGGCGCTCACCTGGGCCACGGCGCTCACCTGGGCCACGGCGCTCACCTGTGCATGTGTACTTGTTTTGTCAGGCGTTCCCGCTGCCTCTCCTCTACGTGGGGAATCAGATCAGCGGCCTGTTAGGAACCAAGCGGCTGAAGTGAGTCCTGGACGTTGCAGGAGAATCGTGGTTAAAGTTCTCGGTCGGGTTTCTTTATTTTCCGTGTGGTAGAAACTCTCTAAACATAGTGTGTTTGAGTGGACATGAATAACCCTTTTATGATCCCTAAATGAGCTCCATGAAAGGGTTATTCATGTGCACGTATGACGGCGAACACGCCAGTATGAAGCTCAGCAGCTTTAAATAAGTCATCTATTTTTAGTGGCATTACTGCACTAAAGTAGCTCTTTTTCTTTATGGTGAAATGTCAGAAAGGCCCACAAAATGATTCCCCTTCTGTCCCACCTGAAGCTGATAAAATAGAACCTTTCTTCCGTAACAATGGCCCAGAGTCTCCCTTCCTGCCGTACCGGCCATCACAGTTAAACGTTAAGCTGCTGCTGATGTTAAAGCAACATCTGTCCTCCTCCACCAGCCTGCCGATGTTCACCGTCCTCCGGAGGTTCTCCATCTTGTTCACAATGCTGGCTGAAGGAATTCTGCTCAAGTAAGAGGACACGACAGATAACCCTTTTTTCTCAGTGGGACGCCCCGTCCCCCTCCCCCGTCCCGTGTACAGGAGGCTTTCGTCGGCTGCCGGGTGGAATTTCACCGCTCTGCTGTCTTTGACCTCTGGCAGGAAGAAGTTCTCCCGGCCGGTGCAGCTGACGGTGTTTACGATGATCCTCGGGGCGTTCATAGCCGCGAGGTGAGTCGCTGCATCCAGGTGTCCCGTGTTAAGCAAAGCAGCGCTCCGTCGCTACAAAGGCGCCGCGTGGCCTGATGTACGCGCTCCCCTGAGTGGCGTTGGCTTCAGGCTCATTACTCGCATGTTGTAAATCTGCGGTGACGGGAGCCCTGCTGGAGCCCCTCCACCCGAGGCCACGTCTTCACCTCGCGCTCTCTCTCTCGTCTCCGCCCACAGCGCCGACCTGTCGTTTGACCTGCAGGGCTACGTCTTCATTCTGCTCAACGACGTGCTGACGGCGGCTAACGGAGCCTACGTGAAGCAGAAGCTGGACGCCAAGGTATGCGCCGCGCCGCCGGATGAATGGCCGGCATTGTCCGCCTGTTTCTGTCACGCGGCCCTTAAAGGTGCTGCGTGTCCACAAACACCAGCTGCTGCTCTTCGCAACGCACGACTCGTAGCTGCTTTCAGGCGCCGGCGGTTCTCACGCTGCTCCATCCAGTTTGTCTGTAACGTCTGAAGATGTGACTCCATGACATCAGTCTTACGTTCCATCTCCTCCTCTTATAGCGAGAGGTCTGTGTGCGTGACTTATTGTGAGACGTGGAGTCGGGCTCTCTGGGTGGAGTAGCGGGTGGAGGCGAGCTGCCGCGCTGCATCTGTGTGCTCGTTGGTGAAGAACGCACATCTGTGAATAACTGTTCTGTTCCTCAGGAGTTGGGCAAATATGGATTACTGTACTACAACGCGTTGTTCATGATCATCCCCACGGTGCTGTTGGCTCACGTGACCGGAGACATGCAGAAGGTGAGCGGTGTGTGTGTGTGTGTGTGCGTGTGTGTGTGTGTGTGCGTGTGTGTGTGTGTGTGTGTGTGTGTGTGTCATTGTTGGCAGAGACCTTGTGGTTCGCCCAGCAGCCAGAAAGGCACAAAGCTGCTACTATGCACCTAGTGGACTTAATGCCCCTCCCCCCAAAAACCCTTTTAAAGCCCCTACAAACTGTGTGGAGTGTGTGTGTGTATATACACACACACACACACACATATGTGCATGTATGTCAAATCTGTGTGCTTCTCTTCAGGCCGTGGAATACGACGGCTGGTCAGACGTGTTTTTCCTCTCCCTGTTCGTCCTCTCCTGCATCATGGGGTGAGAATAAAACCAACGTGCCAGAGTTGAACATCTGGGCCGTGCCAGATACTTTGGGCAGAATCAGCGTGAACAATGGTCCTTCTGTCTGCGTGGACGCCGCGAGGCTTCGCGCTGCGACGTGTGTGGGGTCACGTGACGAGGCGCCTGTTTGGTTTCCCCTGCAGGTTCGTCCTGATGTATTCCACCGTGCTCTGCACGCAGTACAACTCGGCGCTGACCACCACCATCGTGGGCTGCATCAAGGTTTATTCACTCGCCATTTATTAGTCCCACTTTATGAGTTGAGTGTGAGTTGGTTTGATTGTCGGCGTCTTGGTGCTGCAGAATGTTCTGGTGACGTACATCGGGATGGTGTTCAGTGGAGACTACGTCTTCTCCTGGACCAACTTCATCGGGTTGAATATCAGGTACGACCGGTCCCGAGGGGTGTTGGTGGAATAAGTGACGACAGAGCGTTTGAGTCATTAATGATCGGCTGATTCTAATGAGCCAATCAGCTGTGTGGGAAATATTAGCGCGTGAAGGCTGTGCCGCCACATGTCCGGCTTCGCCCTGAATGACACGCGGGGAACCCGAGTGGGCGGATGATGTGATGTGTTGTGCTTGCAGCATCGCGGGCAGCCTGGTGTACTCGTACATCACGCTCACAGAGGAGCAGTCCATCGCAGCCAGCGAGGGCACCAAGCTGGACATCAAAGGGAAGGTGCTCGTGTGAACACTGGAAACCACAAACTCTATTTTTAGTACGACTTGTATTTATGCAGTATTTTAGCAGCTGATTTTACATTTCATTTTCTAAATCTCTATTTTGATACTGAAAGGGAAACAGAACAAATAGTATTTATAACACAAGTTACCGACACCATGTAATGTTGACGTGAACAGCTGGAGGAATCGGTTATTTAAAGGGACAGTTTGAGTGTTTTAGCGGTGGAGTCGCTGTGCTTCTGGTCCTCTGAACTCTGTTCTGGAGAAGCAGCTCACACGAACGTCTGTACGGCCGCACCGATCGTGGTAACATGAAATAACGCTTTGAAAGGCTGAATCCTTCTTTTCTGTTTTCCGGGGGAGCTTAGTTTACATTGTGCTCCCTCTGTGTTACGCAGGGTTCAACTGTACTAAAGAGAAAGCATCCATTTGTCCTTCTGGGGGTTTTTGCCTCCTCGACACACTTGAATGACCTCACTTCCTGTTACTCAGTCGAGATTATTGTACGTTTGTTTTATTAAGAGGCGCATGTTTTTCTAAACTTTTTATAGCCAGGTACGAGTTTTTATTTTCTACATTTCTATCTTCATCAGTTCATATTTATTGTTGACTAATATTCACGTTGTGGGTGCAGTGAATTGATCTGAAACGCAGCGAACATGGATTTGTAGCTGCTTCGTTGTATTTTTACATTAAAAAAAACCTACTGAGGTGTTTCCATTTGTCCCCCAGATGTCTTATTTATTAGTGTTGACTTTCTGTATTTGATGCATCCGTTTTAATGACAGTAACAAATAAACTTCAATGACTCACAGCGCCCTCACTCATCATTTAAAGGCCTTGTTGCTGATACAGCAACATATTTAACATTTAAACAAATTCAAACGTTTCTATAAGATAACATCTGGCTTTATTTGGTTTTGTCTCAGCAAAAATTACAACTTGAACCTCATACAAACATGAAGCTGAATACATTTTATTACAAAGAAAACATCTGATACAATCCCTCCACCGACGCATTAAGACACAATCACGTTAAATCAAACCGCTCGGCCTTTGTGTTCAAGTAGAAAACTGTCATGATTTGCATTGAATGTTATTTTTAATCTCAACAGGCAACAATAAAAAAACAAACCGGGTAATATTGCATCGTCTTTGGCAGCCTGAGGTCACATAATACTTTCATCAGTCCAAACAAAAGGAGCATCTGAATAAATACTCCTTACAAGTACTCTTAATGTTTCTACTTTGGTTTAAGAACACATGAGTAACAAAACCGACAAACGGGAGCAGAGAAAACTGTAAAAGCAGCGACGGGTTCGTTCACGTCACCAAATGTGACTTTCTAAAAACAAGCTGGGCCACTTTGAGATGAGAACAAAACTCCAGCAACTCGACGAAGTTTGTTCCTTTGAGCACTAAGCAAACGTTTGGTGGGACGGGAGTCAAAGCTGCAGATGTTCCATCCAATACAAAACGACTGTACCAGTCAAAAGTGTCCACACGTGATGGTGCTGGACACTACAAAACAACGCAGCTCATCGAGCCAAAGATGGAAGCGATGTTCTGTATCATCGTTTCACAGCAGCAGAACTAAAGACACCAACGTTGGACTTCTCAGGCGAGCCGGACCAACCGCTGCAGATCAGACGCCAACATGCACAAAGTTCTCTAAACGTCTCTCGTGTTCAGGCTCCTGGACGCGGTCGCATTGAAATATAACAACACATCCAGCATGTGCTGCACCCCTTCAGACAAAAACCCCAACGATCCCCCCGATCTCAATCCCCAAGACACAACAAGGCTCCCCTGACTCCCTCATGACCCACGAGGCGGAGCGAGAGGACGGAACGCGGCTCGGCCCGAAGGCCTCACAGCGCGCTGAGGTTCTCCGCCATGTAGCAGAGGCTGCTGAAGTTGCAGCCGATGCAGCACAGGTTGCAGAGCGAGGACAGCAGGCGGTAGAGACGCAGCCGGCCGCTGAGGGCCCGGTACTTGGCGTCGGTCTCGCTCAGCTTGGCGTAGGCCTCGCGGTTGGACGACAGGCCGATGTCCTGACCCAGTCCGCACGCCTGCTCCACCAGGTGCATGTCCGCCATGAGGTCCGACGTCATCTGGCCGAACCACTGCGCGTTGATGGCGGCCACCGTCACCGACACGAATAAGGTGAAGATCTGACGGAGGAGCGGGGGAGGGGTCATTTTTTAAAGTGTTTCTGAAAGTGCGTTTCTGTAAAGACGGACGTGAGGACGCGACTCACCTGGAAGGCTTCTCTGTCGTCCAGCGTGTCGCTGGGGTGATGCACGGCGAAGATGGTGAGGTTGAAGAAGGCGCAGGCCGAACCCAGGTGGAGGTAGAAGGGGACGAGGCGACTCTGGATGAAGCCGTAGGTGTGTCTGTTCAGGTGGTTGTCCATCACGAAGCCTGAGCACAGACAACAATGCGTCACATTTACACCACGACTGGTTTAAATTCTCTCCGTTTGCGGTTCAAGGGTTAAATGAATGAGGTCATAGTACGACCAATGGAATTAATGTCCATCACTACATAAAATATGACAATGTTTTCATCTGAAGATCCAGATTGAGGCTGGACGCTGGACCCCGGGTACCTACTGGAGATGAAGGTGACCCAGATCTGCATCCCCCAGTAGGTGGAGAGCAGCAGCAGCTGCAGCAGCTTCACGGTGACGGTGGGCTCCTGCTCGGTGGACATGTCGGCTCCTCGCTGCTCCGCTGCGAACACACGGAGGAGCCCTGCGGGGTCAGAGGTCACAGGAGAACCACAGGTACCAGGTTCACCTCTGCGGACATTCTGACGTCCCCGTGGAGCACAACGAACTTTACCTTCACGAACCGGGTCCCCCTTTAACCCCCAGTGAAACGGTAAGAAATGAAGGTGCGGAGTTAGTACAGGTGGGACACGTGACCGACGAGGAGGCTTCAAAGTCACCGCAGCTAACGTTGGTTAGCAAGGAGCTAAGCTGCTAACGTTAGCTAAAGTTAGCTTAAAGTTAGCGCCACTCAGAAAACTACTGCGGTAGTTTCAGCTCACGGTCCTTAAAGTTCGCATCGGTCCGAATCTCTTCATGAACAACGTTGAGTCACAGTATCATTGGAATAGTTTCACGTTACCGGGTTAGAACAACGCACTACGGAACCGAACCGTGATCTCACCTGTTTGACCGCAACGGTAACGGAGAGCTGGCGGCGAGAGGAATGTCGGCCGACTCGTTCCCTTTAATGCGACTCGTTCCCCTTAAAGCGACTCGTTCCCTTTAAAGCGACTCGTTCCCTTTAATGCGACTCGTTCCCTTTAATGCGACTCGTTCCCTTTAATGCGACTCGTTCCCTTTAATGCGACTCGTTCCCTTTAGAGCGACTCGTTCCTTTAATGCGACTCGTTCCCTTTAGAGCGACTCGTTCCTTAATGCGACTCGTTCCCTTTAAAGCGACTCGTTCCCTTTAATGCGACTCGTTCCCTTTAATGCGACTCGTTCCCTTTAGAGCGACTCGTTCCTTTAATGCGACTCGTTCCCTTTAGAGCGACTCGTTCCTTTAATGCGACTCGTTCCCTTTAGAGCGAATCTTTTGACACAATCCGTCCAGTTTATCCGTCTGCAGTTGCTCAACAGTCACAGAAAACATTTGTTTTAACATTGTTTAATAGGACACTTTGAGATTCTATATTATGATCCACAATTCAGACATTATTGGTATCAAGTATTTAACATTAAACAAGTACAAACTGGTACATTATGTAATCTTCCAATGAATTAACTATGATGCCTTACAGGTCAAACGATATTCATTCTGTTCATTTCCTGCACGGTGCTGGTGAGACGACTTCCAGTTACAATATAAATAGTTTGTTCTCCCTTCATGTACATTTATTACAAAAGTATAGATCTTAAAATATGCACCATGGCTCCGATAAGGAAGTGGTGCTTTTAAAAGGTTTGGCACTCGTAGGTTTTTAAATGGCTGAAAATAAACATCTTCTGCCACGTTTCTGCCAAGAAATCCGAACACGGATGTTGAAAAGAGAACGTGTGCTTCACATAGAAAGGCCTCGAAGCAAAATGACCCTTGTTGTGATGAGCACAAAGTCTCAGTGTGACCGCTTGCTTAGACGCGGCGTGCTGCCAAACAGGTCAAAGGTCAGGGCGCCGGGGGTCGAGGGCTCAGTGGCGGGCGGCCTTGCAGACCTTGTCGTACACCTCGGGGAAGGCCTCCTTACAGCCGAGCTCGTCTCTCAGTCTGCGGTAGAGCCGCCCGTCAAACATCTCCCAGAACTCCTCTCGGTCCATGTACACATCTGCATACAGCATCTGGAACCTGGGGGGGCGGGTTTACGTGTCAACATTATGCTTCATGGCAAATTTATAATAAAAATAGTAAACTGGGTCACATGATCATTGAATCGGTTCTTTATTCACTACATTCATTAACTTGTTTGATTGCGCAACCTGAAAATGACCTTCTGGGAGGTTCTAGAGAGGGACACTTGCTGTAGACACGGAGACTTACCCGTGCACTTCTCGCACAAACTTCTCCAGCTGCCTCGTTGACGCTTTGGCCTCAAAGTGTTTGACTCGGGGTTCCCCGTAGGCGCCGATGTCCACGTACAGCTCCGCCTCCTGCCCCCTGGGGTGCACCATCCCTCTGCCCGGGGGCAGCAGGAAGGGACACAGCCACAGAGGGTAGACCTGCAGACAGCACAAGACACGCAGGGGTTCAGACGGGGGCTGGGACGCAGGCGAGTTGGGACGGGCGCTGGGACGGGAGCGAGTTGGGACGGGAGCGAGTTGAGACGGGACCTGGGACGGGAGCGGTTGGGACGGGAGCTGGGACGGGAGCGGTTGGGACGGGAGCTGGGACGGGAGCGGTTGGGACGGGAGCGGTTGGGACGGGAGCTGGGACGGGGGCTGGGATGGGACGGGGGCTGGGATGGGCGCTTACCTCGACGTCCTGGTGGAAGCGGGCGATGGCGGCCTGCAGGTCCTTCATGGGGACCAGCATGTCCTGCACCACGTGGTGCTGCTCGTAGAGCCGGCGGATGGTCTCGCCCTGCGTGAGCTTCAGCAGGGAGATCTTGGGAGGAACCATCCAGCCGAACACCCAGCGGAATATCGGGTTATTGCCGAAGGGAATAATATCCTGGAGAAAGGACAAAAATAGAAATTATTATTATTATCTCTTTTGGAAGGTTATTCTTTTGTTTCAGTTTTAGTTAATTTAATTTAATAATTGAATATTTCTATCTTATTAGATATACTATCTTTTTATTATATTTTCTTCCCTGTACATGCTGCTGTGATACCAAAATGTCCTTATTGAGGGATCAATAAAGTATCAATCTATCTATCTGTACTCCGACGGGTTCAAAGGTGGCGTGACATTTTTTTTTTTTTTTTTTTTTTTACACATAATTAATTTTTATTAGATTTCATGTAAAATATATCCACTCACATAATCTGCGTACGGTATCTTAACAATTGAAATGACAAGAACACAAATGACGTCATGTCGTTTGCCTGAATGATGTTGGATTTCTGCACGAGGTCATTCGTTCAGGAGACACTTCTTGTGTTGCAGCAGAATAAAGTCACGCGTCGTAATCACCAAGTGATCTATAGCTCCGCCCCCTGTTTCCTGCCGCGTCCAGAGAACAAAACCCTGAGAGGCAGAAGCTCCCGGAGGGATCGGCCACACCACCGCTGTGAATAATTCATCGCGCCACTTACCGTCGCACAAAACAAAAGGATGCCGAGCCCTCGCTAATGGTGTGTGTGTGTGTGTGTGTGTGTGTGTGTGTGTGTGTACCTGAATCTCCCAGAAGATGCTGCGTGTGTGTCTGTGATAGTACTGCCTCAGAGGGATGTACTCCACCGCGCCGCGGTCGTCTCGCAGGAAGCCCTCAACGTGTTTGAAGAACCAGGGTTTGAAGTGGAGGCCGATTCTGTTGACCTGAGGTCAAACGGAGGTCACACGGTGACCTTTTGTTCCCGTGACGTAACAGAAACACCTTTTAACCGTTGGGCGGCGGCATCGCCGTGGAGACGCAAAAAAAACAACGAAAAACAAGTGAGACGCGCCCACCTTGTCGGGCTCGGCGTGGTCCGTCATCGTCCCCGTCATGACCACGGCGGCGTCCCGGCCGTACTGGAGGCCCTCCACGAACGTGTTCCGCTTGTCCTCCGAGGCGGCGGCGAAGCGGCGGCAGATGTTCTCCAGCCCTCTGACCGGCTCGTAGCGCAGCTTCACCCAGGCCTTCGCCGGGACGATCTTCACCTCGGCCGCCACCAGGAAGCCCAGCGTCCCGCAGGACCAGGGGACGGCGTGGAACAGGTCCGCGTTGTCCTCCTCTGTGCAGCGCACCAAGCTGCCGTCAGCTAGCACCAGCTCGTACGCCACGCAGATGTGCTGAAACAGCCCGTAGATGTGGGAGGACGACTCGATGCCCGTACCCATCACCAGGCCACCTGGGGGAGGAGAGCCGCTCGCCTTAACATCACTCACACGTCTGGGCCTTCAGGATAAATAATGTACTGATGGGAAAACATTAGATCGCTGATGGCATCAGGGAATCCATTATGAAACCCGATCCGCTGTGTGTGTGTGTGTGTGTGTGTGTGTGTGTGTGTGTGTGTGTGTGTGTGTGTGTGTGTGTGTGTGTGTGTGTGTGTGTGTGTGTGTGTGTGTGGCAGCGCTGCTGCTTCCAACGCTGCAGCCATTTCCTCCCAGATTCATCTCCTGAGCTACAACAACCGCCGTCTAACGCGATTAGAGAAGTCGCTGGTGCTCTACACAGGAAGTCTGCGATTGATGGAGAGACACCAGAGAGCACAGATGGGCAGTTACTGAGGGAGGGGGACAGGGGGGGGGACGTACCCACAGTGAGGTCATCCAGCTCGGGCAGCACCGGCAGCGTCCAGCCAATGGAGGTGAGGAGGGCGGTCACCTGACCCATGTTGGCCAGCGGCTCGACCCTCACGACCTGGAACCAAAACACGTGAAACATGGAAACAGCTCCACGCTAACGACGCTAGCAATGCTCGTAGTTCATTATTTAACACCCGGCTCCACAGAACAGGACGATGAAGCTTATCCGAGACACTTAGAATGTTCTCCATTGAAAGTTGTCAAATGTACAACAAAGTATCTCCATTTCTCTGAAGACTTTGGCAACTGTGGAGTGAAAATATCACCAATAGAATTTGTTATAATTCTCAAAAGGCAAAGTTACGTGAAAAGAAGGACAACACATCCAAAAGCGAAGGGAGGGACGCCTCCCGCTAAAGCTACGATGCTAACATGCTAACATGCCGACGCTTAGCAGGGAACGTTTAGCCTTCAAATATTTGTTTTTATTTGTAAAATAAGCTCCTATTATTACCTCACTTCTCCACTCTGGTTTATTTTATAGTTTACTAAATATAAATAAAGGGGCCATAAAAAGTAACTTTACACCGTTCATGTCAAGTCCTTCTGAAATGAGTCATTTCTTAGTTCTCAGTAGTTGCACGGTGCACTGGGGCACCAGTTCAACCAGTTTCCATCCTGGATTCTTCACATACTGTCACACCGACGTGACGCCTGTCGCTCTGCGGCCGGCGGCATCGCGTGTCGCTCACGCAGCGGTCAGAGCTACACGTGTGTCATTAATAATTATACAACTATTAATGAGCCACAACAAAACGCTCTTTAACACAACGGTCTGCGACACAAACCATTTGTGACACTAATAATTGTACATTTATAAAATTACACCACCGAACTGCATGCTGGGTAGAGCTCGCTATACAAGCTAACACGCTAACTCGCCGGCCAGTTGCTAGCGGTGAACAGCAAGCGGGAACGCTGCTCAGGTGACCGCCGTCGTTTTCGGCTCAATGAATTAACGCGTTTACTCAAAAAAAACATGACGTGATATACGGTGAAACCGCCAGAATCTAAATAAATACCGTGATATGAATCTGTGGCCATAACGCCGGCCGACATCTCACGATATGTTATCATTTTATTATAGATTGTTTTACCGTTATGTGTGTCTGTGTGAGTCTGTGTTAGTTGGGGATAAACTTTAAAAAAATTCCCAGTTTGGGACTCACTGGTTTGCTGTGCTAGCGCGCTAAAGGAGGCTAACGAGCACGAGCTAGCACCATGTGACTCCTCCCACCTGCCGTTTGGTGTCCACCTCCAGGATGTCCATCATGTTGATCATGATGTTCTTGTGCGTCTTCTTGTACTTCCCCACCCGGAGCGACACGGTGAGCCAGCCGGGACGTCCCGTGCACATGTGGGTCTTGGCGCCGTCCTTCCTCCACTCGCGCACCTGAAGACCAAGAACACAAACGACGTCATGGAGGCCTTCTCATCGAAGACGCAGGACCTTCGAAAGGCCTCTGCAGCTCGTTTAACCTCTATTGAATATCTGAGACATCTCGCTAACAAAGGAAGACGGGTCATGGTCCTTGAACTGATCAGAACCCGAAGATGTAGATCAGTCAGAACCTCCGTTAACGGGAACCAAAGGGACAATAGTAACTTCTTAGTGACGTTGACTCTTTATGCATCAGTAACAACTTGTAGGAGTTATTAATCGTATCTAATGTGTGAAATGTTGAGCAGGTCAATAATACACGCGCAGGAATTAATTTCTACCAGAACTAAGACGAAGCAGTGACTCTTCCCACTGGGGCCCTTTTTATTACCCATGAGCCTTTGCAAAAACAGGTAACTCCTCCCTGCGTTCACCGTGCAGGACTACACACACCTGTATGAGTCACTCCCACACAGGCCGTGGTGGTGATGATGGTGGTGATGAAGGCCTCACCTGTCGCTGGACGTCCCGCACGCGCTGGTCGTGCAGTTTGGGCGCGGAGCACATCTTGAAGATGAGCCACGCGCGCACGTAGTAGTACACGTCGAACAGCACGGAGAGCGGCAGCAGGAACAGACACACGAAGACCCACCGCTGGTGCACGATGACGTAATCCAGGCCCTTGACTCGGATCCACAGCAGCAGCGTCAGCAGCGCGCCGCCGACGTACAGCAGCGCGTCCATGGCGGCAGAATGCGGAGAACCGGCCGCGGACGCGTCGGTCTTTTATTACCGGGAGACTCCCGGCGGCGGCGGAGTGGACCTTCGGTCGGTAGCCGCTCGGCCCCGCCTCCGCTGCGCGGCGATTGGTTCACACCGCTGCCGAGGCGGAGCCGAGCGCCGGCGAACACTTCACGGTCATTGGTTGAACAGGTGACTGTTGGCGACGCTGGAGGTGTGGCCTCCGGGCTCAGCCAATCAGGAAGCAGAGAGGCTGTCACACCACGCACGCGGTCCCGCGTGGCTCTGTTACGTCACTGAGGCCATATCACCGAAACCTGAGTTGTGTATGTATATATATATATATATATACGATAAAAAAGTTTACAGTATATATATATATATATATACTGTAAACTTTTTTATATCGTCCAACCTGAATTCTCAACAATCTACGAACAAGACAAAGTCTGGAACTACATTTTTAGGAAACTGAACACAATTTTAAAAAGTGTTACTGGGGAGGAAGGCGAGGTAGCACACTGCACACGGCCCGGCGTCCTTTTCCCAATGTCCAATGTCCTGTGTGGAAATCTGCAGACGGCCACATGAAGCCACATGAAGCCCCACTCAAGATGTTTATTAGGTTCCAGTACTATGTGTCTACTAATGAGAGAATATTGTTCTCATCTAACATAATGTAAATATTCTATTCATATGAAATAACAGTAACAGAGTCCAGCACTTTCACATAAGCCTAATTAGATTTCACAACATGGAATAATAAAGAATCACATGTTACGTGGGACCATTGAATTAAGCGTGTAAAAAAATATTTTCTTCCAACACGTCAACCGTTGCTTTCCATGAGACAGGACATGTCCTCAGTGTCCTCAGTCCCTATAGGTTGTGATTCATTGCCTTCAGTCTCTTGAAACATGAGCGTGAGATACTAATTATTTCTCTAATAAACGGTTTGTTCAGCGGCCCTCCAGGACGACAGGAACTCGTACGTGCTGCAGGGGGGTTGAGAAGCTCATAGATCCGAGGAGGACGTCCCAGGTCTCTACGTCCTCCAAAGGACATTTATTTATTCATGATTTGGTACTCAAGAATATTTGAGGTATTTGCCAAATATCACGTAGTCAATATTTCGTTGAAAACGGTTTGTGACTATTCGCTCGAGCCCAACGTGGGAGATGAAGCCTCTGATTCTGGCCGCTGTGATTTCGTCCTTCTTTGAGGCCCCAGAGGAACCGACCTCCCGTCACTATTCGGCCCGCGTCCTTTTGTTGGGACGAGTCTCTCCGTCTCATTCAAATCACGTTCAACGGAGCAGCTCGATCACATGGAGCATATTGATCCTCCCCTGCTGATAGACTTAAAACCCACGGTTCAATTATTAATCAAACATACTGGAAATATAACAGAGGACCTTTGGACTCGCTCACTTACACGGATTCCTCTCCCAAACTAACCAGACATGGTGTTTGTTTCGTCGGCCGTGTACTAATAAATATCTGAATATAGAACATCAAAGCAGATTTAAACCACTGAAGGTTGTAACCTGAAACCACCAGGCGACAAAAGCCAGAACGTGGTCCTTAGTTTCACTCCGTCTCCAACATTTATGTTTGTGTTTACGGAGATGGCTGTCTGTCACACACACACACACACACACACACACACACACACACACACACACACACACCCCTCAGACACATTAGACGGGGGAGGGTGGGGCGCCAGCAGCGATCCCTAATGGGCTCGGCCGTCCTCTGGTCCATTTGCCCGATGAAGACACAGCTCCTCCTGATGCGTCTTCACAGGCTCACTTGTTATTTTTTTCTCGCTTCAAGACTTTAACCTGAGAGGACGAACACGGGAGACGGACCGGGGACGAACAAGTAGGATTCAGGGAGCTTTTTCCTTTCCTTGTCCCTTCTGTAACTGGAGTGTCTTTGGATGCCTGGTCTCCGTCCCCTCCCAGCCGGCCCTGAAAGTTGACCCTCGGGAAGCAGGCGAGGTGCCGGGCCGGGAGGATGCCGTCGCTGCACCACGGCACCATCTTCATCGGAGCCTTCCTCATCGTGACCGGGGGCTCCACGGCCTTCCTGGTCTCCGCCCAGAGCCGCCTGCAGGCGTTCTCGCTGTGCTGCGTGGCGCTGGGGGTGGTCATGCTCATCCTGGGGCTCTTCTGGGCCATGAACAGCAAGAGCGCCGCCAACTACAACCACGGGGAGTTCGACCCGGAGTGCCCCCACTACCCGTACGACTACCCCAACTTCGGCAGCCATGCCCTCTTCACCCCCCCGGGGAGCCGCTTCCCGGAGTCCCAGTCGGTGTTCCTGCCGAGGTGGGTTGTGGAACAAAAGCCTTATTCAAGTGTATTTAATGATTTGTCTGTCCTGTATTTGTACAGAAAACTAGTCCATTTAACCAGAATATTCTTTTTAATGAAGACACTAAACCCGCTAATTATACACAAGATATTATTTGTCTTCAGAGATGCATCTGTTCATAAGAGGTGTGAACATAAACTCCACTAAAGTAGTTCTGCTTGAATATGGACGTATTCGTCCCCTGATGACAAAATCCTCTACTGGGAGTTTCCCATTTACACACCAATGAAATATGACGACAGAGGAGACAGTTAAAGAAATGAATTCATGTGATCACTTCAGGAAATACACCTGCTTTCTTTGCTAAAAGGTCCGATGAAAACCTCATACCAGTCTGTCACGTCACAGTGAAGACCGATGATGACAAACACGCACACACACATTTCTACACAAAATCCATTTACTGAGCAGCACATAAACCACCTCATGTCATATTTAATATCAAACGTATGTTAGTTACCAACAGCTTCCTGTCTGGAAACAGTGGAACGACTACAAAGAGACTAAAGACGACTACAAAGAGACTAAAGACGACGACAAAGAGACTAAAGACCACTACAAAGACACTAAAGACGACTACAAAGAGACTACGACTACAAAGAGACTAAAGACGACTACAAAGAGACAAAAGACGACTACAAAGAGACTAAAAACGACTACAAAGAGACTAAAGACGA